AAATCTATAGCCTCGAAATATGGCAAAGAGACGGAATTAAAAAATGACATTATCTATAAGCAGGAGCGCAGCCAGGATTCTTAAGAGGGAGGTGGTTCAATTTCCGCGCAACATTCGCGATTAAAAAACGGATGACGAGATTTCTGTTGCGTAAAATATTCAATCCATGACCGATGCGAGCATTTAAAGTGTCTCATTGTTATAATATAATCGTGCTCATCTTTATTCACCTTTGATTCGAGATTACTATTAGGATTACTAAAATGAAAGAATACTATTCTAATAACATAAAATATGTGATAAACTGCCAACTATAAATAAATTGGAGTCGTGTATTTGCGATCTTGGGATTTGTCAAACTTGATTTGTTCTTCCGTACTTGAGATTATTATTAAGCAAGATATCGCCGTTTAAAAAATCACAATGTCTGGGCAAAATACGAACAATTGAAATTTATTTTATTGCATTCGGCTACGTTGGTAGTTTCAGAATGAAAAAAGGTACATCGCGGATCGCGCGCACAATTGATTGCGTGCGGCTCCGTCAGCAGTTTCAAAATGGGTAAAACAGGTACATCGCACGCACAATTGACGCACGCACAATTGACGATTTCGCAGTTACTACGATGAAAATCTAACATAACAGCAAATTTTGTGATTTACTATGTCTATAAAAGCGTTTTCAATCTGAGGTGAGTCTGCTGAAACCAAACGTGTGAACTTTCATTTTAAGTTTTAATATTTTGGAATGCCGCTTTTCAATTGAGAAATTTGAGTTGCGGATCTACCTCTTCATTAATTATATTTTCAGCAGTTCGTCGCCGATGACTATAAAATAGTAACATATTTTTCACATTGAACTCATAATTCCCCACGAGAACAAAAAAGCAATTAACGTCGTCATTGTGTAACAATACATGTATATATATATATATATATATGTCGAGGGCAATTTTTGATTTAGGGAGAATAAACACCGGCTTAAAGATTCTAGGTTCAAATACACGCCGCCATGGTGAGGAAAAAATCGGCGATTGTAACAAAATGCAATCGCGCACATTATTAGCGGCCTTTTGAGTCTTCCAAAAATGTCAAAAGGGAAAAGATTCGAACCCAAATTTATTAGTATGTTTGTCAAGTGCCAAATTTACAGCTTTAGTATATATAATTTATGTTTGAAATTTAGATATATTTATGACTTGTATTAACTCTATTAAAAAAGGTTCAGCATTTAAATTGAGTAAAGTACTTTTAACTTGCTCAAGAATATTAATCTGAAAGTAAAAATTTTAACATTTATTTTGGGGCTCCGTGAATAATAGTCAACAATTTCAAGGGCTCCGCGACACCAAAAGTTTGAAAACCCCTGCTTTAAACTGATTCTTTAAATTTCTTGACTTGGGCACTGCAGATAAATTGCTCTATTCTGAGTGCATTGACAAATCAGGGGTGCTAGTAAAAACGGTCTCAAAATTGTTTTCAGGTTTTGTGAAAGATGCAAAAGAGCTTTTCGCACCGAATGTCTGGATTTATATTCTGAAAGCGAATATCGTTCAGATGGAGCTGTTATTTGTAAGAGCTGCAAAATCGAGTCTGGTGAGTATACTGCGACCAAATAATTTCTTTCATTCAGGGTTTACATTACAGTATAGTTTTGAAATTTTAACCGTGACTGAGTCGAATTATTACAAAATAATTAACGAAAACTGAAGATTGGATGAAGCGAATGAACCATGGAAGAGTCATAAAGATGAAGATAGATGAAAACGAGCTAAATTATTGATATCTGCATTATGTTTTTGAAGGAAATGTAACGATCGAAAAGTTAATTACCAATAAACGTAATGTTTATTCTGGTAACTTTAGTGTCGTTTTGTAAATTTTAATTTCCCTTACTTTTATTGGATAATAATTCTTAATGGAATGAGACGACACGAGATTTAATATGTATACATTTAATATACAATAATTGTTAACAATATGTTATAAACCTATAAAAACAGTTTTATTTCTATTAGACGAAAATGAAGACTGCTCAGTATTTCGCACTTCAGGTATGAATAAATGAATAGCGTATATTATATGATGAATCAGGTAATTTACAATATTTTGTCTTGTTTTCACTGGATGTGTATTTGTTTGGATCCTCAAACTCAAACGATTTAACTATTATCGCCGATGCCAAATGTCCGTGGATTCATCGTTGAATGTAGACTACGAAATAGCATTATATTGTGGTTGAATTTCATAAGTTACGTTCTTTACGACATGGAGTGGACAGACATATGGATCGTTTTGTAGTTATGTTGTTGTTGTTTTCAAAATTTTTTTTATCACTTTTTAAAAGATCGCCTTCCTCTTTAATTACTGGACAAATTGCTTTGAAATTGTCGGTGGTTAAAGATTGTATTTTTCTCTAGAAGGCTATTACTTTCATTTGTTTCAAAAACTTCTGTGGACTCTGAAGGATCCGTTTTTTGTGTGCGATGACGTCATAAAAATTAAAAATAGCGCTACTTGTGGCGCTCCGACTTCTCACATCGATCATGCGGTCGAGCGAAGTCGTGAACACTGCGACTACCCGTAGGCTAATGTGAAAGACTGTATACGCGTGCTACTCCGTGTCAACATATTTGAGCCACGATCTCTTATTTGTGTGTATAAGTACAACTTGCTCGTGACTTATTTTCAAACAGCCGCAGAATCAGACTGCTGTGATGTGATGACATCATTGGGTCAATTGGGAGATGTATTGGAGAATGCATCGGAGGATGTTGCCTATTTTTCCGCGAATGTTGGATTGGTTCCAACGAATAACTGTGTGTAGCATATTAGAGCTAAGATCTGAAGCCCGAGCCCGGTTCAAACCTGAAATGTCAATCAATACGTTCGGGTCGGGTCGGGCCAGGTTTCTCTATCGCTGCCATTTTTTTCAAATGAGGCGTTTCGGCCACTAGAGACCGTGGTAGGCAAAAAAAAACAGGAGTTGCCTCATCAATACGACACATACTGTACTAAAATCTTGCAATGACAATTCAAAGAACTTCTGAATAAAATATAAAATTTAGGGTTTGCTTCGGGCTTGGGCTTGGTCGGCTTTAATACCCACGTGCCTGGGTCGGGTCGGGCTGGAATTTTTTTGCCCGATGTTATTCAAAATGTAATATCACAACTTTGTGGTTCTCCCATTCACTGTCAAGGCCGATCATCGAAATACTCCATATTGAAAGTTCAATCATAATTTTACTCGTGCAAAATCTGGCTATTCGAAGATTGTTTTCAAAATAATTCAAGCTCAGAATTCATGGTTTGATTGATATAAATCCGTAGTTTCGATAAAATAGATCTAAACGGTGTAACGCGGTATGGGAGTTAAAAAAATTAAATGAACGTATTGAATAACGAAACGAATAATTGGTAGATATAGAATAGATATAAAGACAAAAATTTGTTTTTGTTCCAACAAACTTTGGTTTTCTCGCAATATCATCTCGCGTTTTATCTTTGTCGGTTCCAAGAACGTCAACATAACTGACATTCAAGGATCTGCTGAAAAGGCCGAGTTGGTTTAATTCTATTGTTTCCTCACTGTCAATGTACTATGAACTGCTTCTTTTTGATTTTCATCCTGTTATACATAAAGTTGTTGTCGCGGGAGATAATTCCACCCTTTACAACTCCTTTCATCAATCATAATTTGTATAATAAAATTTTCATTCAGTCTATCGATATTCCTAGTTCGAAATATCTTCCAACATGGTCTGTTGTCAACCTTCTTCTCAATATTCACTTCAATTTTAAGGGTCTTTTAACACCGAGCCTGAATATTCGTGATAAAAAAGCATTGGGATCGAACAAGGTGGTATTCTACCAGCATAGATAGCTTATATATTCATCTACCAGCATGTCTGGCACTGCAGTCAGAAATTTTCAGACGGCTGCTAGTATGGATTTCTGTTGTTCAATACCAATGGGACAATTTCATCCCAATAATAAATACCGTAGTCACACTTATAATATGTCCCAAAATAAAAATGGTGAGAAACAACATGAATCCATATCAAACATACATATAAACTCAATCTGCATTGTTTTCAATACAACTTTCACGGGCGTTATTATAAATCGGTATTGCGAGGGTTAAGCTAAACTCCAGGAATTACGTGTAAACCTTCGGTTTATAGTGAGTAGCGTAGGTTTAAACCTTAACATAAATATTTTCGTCAATATGCCCCTTGATATTGCCATTTTATGGCGTGAGCTTGATGTTAGTAAACCTAGCTCATGCGCCATTTTTTCTGCATATGACAGTGGTCCTCAACCCTCTTTTGGTAAATCCTCCTTTGACCCATATTGGAACTCCTTATTCCTCCGTCCTTGTGCATAAAAATACTTTATTTGTTCAATCTCAAATGAATCCTTTGCTAGTGTTATGCGCAAGTCGCACTCCGTTTTGGTACTCCCGAAGTATGTGAATCATGATGGCGGACACCGTTACCAGATTATGTGTACCAGATTAAGATTAGGCCATAATTTCAGGTACAAGTACTACGGGAGTCACTTGGCTAGTCCCTGAACTCGTAACTGAAATAAAATAAGGAGAATTGGAATAAAATTATAGCCTAACGTCATTGACGTTTACGGATATAACGTATCATGTTTTCCACTTTCAATTACAATAACAAAATACTTGAACGAAATAATCAAATAATAACGCATCCCAGTACTCAATCTGGTGTGGACAGAAACGTCGACATTAGTCACAAAATACCAAAAATGATCGAATCACTTACTCTCGAGCTGAGCGATATTGTCGGCAACTAATATTATGAAAACACTGCAAGTCATTTCAGTGGTGAATCATTGACAATGCGATGTGTTTGACAAATAACATGATGCGGTTCTTTGTATTACCATTTCTCCTATTACATAAAATTTAAATTTTTAATTGCTAAGACATAACCGTGGTATGCCTGATATTTGCCTTTAGTACATACGAGACACTCGTAACAATACATAGTAAAGGCAATACAGAGAGTATTGAGTAAGTGGATTATTACACGCGACAGCAGATTTATAAACCGATGTTTCAACAACAATGACACGTAAGTTTTTTATTTTTCAAGTTTGGTTTTTTTAGGGTTTATAAACACGCGAACCTACTATAATTGGGCTGTGACATGAACTGTATTCAAATCGTTTCTGTTTATATTTTAAGCATTAGAGTATCAGCGAGATGCTATAGTCAAGGCTGCCATCGATATGAACGCGCATTCGATATGAATCATTCCTATTGACCAATCTGAGTACCCGATACAAGTACCACTACCCCTAAAATAAAACTAAAATAAGGACACGTGTTAAAAAAAGGACCTTTCTTATAAACAGGTACAAAAATATTTTCTAAGACGAAGACCTTCTAATAAGGACAAATCTTAGAAATAAGGACGTTATGGTAGCCCTGGGTATAGTTATGTCGGTGCTCCCGGAGTATGCGAACCAAGATGGCGGACATCGGAACGTAACATAGGTAGCAGCCTAGCAGGTTAGGGTTAGGCGATACTTTTTTTCCAATTTTCCTTATTTTAGTCCTATTATCAGTTCGAAGACTAGCCAAGAGCCCCCCGTAGTATTTATACCTAAAATTATGGCCTAACCCTAACCTAGTACACATATTACATTCCGATGTCCGCCATCTTGGTTCGCATACTTCGGGAGCCCCGTTATGTCTTATAATTCACATAAATGCACGTCCTTTCAGAATACGTCCCGGTTACGTCCGGGAGTCTAAGTGCTTTACTCTATATTTCCAAGTATATATATTGTTTCGAAAAGCATCTAAACACCTGCAGGCGACTGTGAAAGACCGTATACGCTACTCCGTGTCCATATATTTGAGCATCGCTCTTCTGTCTGACATAAGACTGTTGTTATAATTATAATAAGCAAAACTTATCAACTAGTAAATATCATTCCAGAGTAATATATGTTTTCTCATTTCGTTTTTATATTTTTAGTTTGTTTTAAATTTAGATTTGGTGGAAAAGAAACCTCCTTTCGTTGAATCAAACACTGTCCAGAATTGTCATAATTGCGAACAGGTATTCATAGACTTCAGGTAAGACCAGTTAAGATGGTTTTTATATCAACAAAATGCTTGTGTATTGTAGGTTAAACTATTTGCTGTACTGCCATTGCAAGAGATGCATATTTAATTTTTTTGGACACGAAATGTACACTATGATCGTTTTGATATTGAGATGTTGATCTTGTTGATATTCCTTTTCTTAATCTTGCTGTAAAAAAATCACTTTTCTCATTCGTTGCTGGACCAATTGCTTTAAAATTTTCAGTGATTGAAGATTGTTGTTGTCGCTAGATGGCTATTTCTTTTATTTTTTCCTAAATTACGGATATACTGACATCTGATATTTCACTCGAAATTCCGCTGAATTATTTTTCATTCATGAGAACAAGGTTTTAATCCGCCAAGCGTGGTGGCGGTTTACCATTTTACGCGACGCTACGCAAAACTCGGATATTTTTTGATAGGTTACCGGTAACAGTATGTACGGTACGAAAAGTACTTGTGTCCAGATATTTGAGCCTCGCTCTCTTATGTTTATTATTATTTTTCTTGGTATTTATTTGAACATTTCATTAGAGAGATTTTTCATGTTCTATTTTAGGTGAGGCATGGATATTTTTTATGAAACAAAATTTGAGATTCAGCATTGTTTATCCTAGACTCCTACATATATAAATTTATTTATTACGTTTACAATATCGAAGAAAAAAATGATACACCCTGGAATAAAAAATTTTTAGTTCAATAAAGTAACCTTTAATATTTGAGGATTAACTGCAGAGCATGTGGGAATGTTGTTTGTGATGAATGCAGCAAAAATCGAATTTGGCTTCAATACCTTCCCACAGGGAAGCCTCAAAAAGTTTGCGACAACTGCTTAAATAAAATTCAGGTAAAACGTGCGTCAATTTCTGACAACAGTTTTCTATTCTTACACATGCCTTGTTTCTCTTCAAAATTCTTTCTTTCTTCGCTTCCTCATACACATAAATAAGGTACAAGTTCATAACAGGGGTTGGATAGTCAAATCCACCAATCGCCATTATATACGAAACAAAGCAACCTGCAATACGAGGCTGAAATTGGAGAATTAGCACCAAGATGCTGCCGATGCACAGAGAATTTTAAAGAAATGCAGAGGGTTGAGTGAGTAAAATTGAAAAAAAATAAACCAAAATAAAAGCTACTTAAACCTTAGCGTACTAAAGCGCTTTAGACTTGGAAGCCCTAGAAGCAAACTTAAGATATCTCGATTCTCGAGTGAGATTTTTTATGTCCACTTGTCGTGACCAAATAACCAGTCCAACTACGATTGATTTGTGATCTTTAACATATGCTTGACTTGAAGAATTGAAATTGAGGCGACAGGGTCTCGATTTGGTACTTTCGTAGTGTGTGTACCAAGTAAGGGATAGGCCATAATGTTATTTCAATTTTCATTTTTAGTTCTATTAACGAGTTCGGGGATGAACCAAGTGACTCCCGTAGTATTTGTACCTAAATTATGGCCTAACCCTAACCTGGTACACATACTACGTTCCGGTGTCCGCCATCTTGGTTCACATACTTCGGAAGTACCGTTTTCTCAATCCAAAAATATTAGATTACTAGATGGTACTTAAACTTAATGCTTCAAGTCTTTTGACTCGACTCGGACACAATGTGATAAAAATAAAAAACCACTCGGTAGCACTCACTTGTGCTTGTTGTAACATGGAAGATATAGGGTTTTTTTATTTGAAATGGAACTAATGATTAACATATGGTATATATTTTGGGAAAAATTTATTCTTTGCTCGTGCTTTAAACTAATTCTCAAAATTTATTTTGCCAGCTTTTGTGAAAAATGCAAAAGAGCTTTTTGCATCAAATGCTTGGACGCGAGTGGTCATCACAAGAATAAAAATAATATTTGTGACAATTGCAAAGGTAAACTTGATTGATTATCATTTCGAATTTCTATATTGGGGTGAATCAATATGGCGAATCAAATGCCTGGGATAGAAACTGGCTAATTAATGAAAGTAATAGATGCTGTAAAATATTCTATCAAGTGAAAGAAGGAAACGAATGAGCCTGAATATGTAAGCTTGATAGTGATCTTATTCAAAGCATAGTATATTTGTTTATTACCTAACAATTTCATACAATATTTGGCGCTCCAGAAGTATTCGTACCTATGTGGGGATTAGTAAGGGAAAATACGAACACTACGGGAGCACCCAATATTTAATATTTGTCGTTTGCATATGAAGAACTCATTTGATAAAATTGATCAGCATATTTATACCATGACAAGTGACGACATAGTGTTTCGGCATTTTTCCTTTCGTTTGATGAATTAATGATCAAGATATTCAGAACAAAAACTTATATATTTTTAGATGACGAAAGAAGATCTTCCTCTTCGAGCAGTTCAGGTACAATTGAAGAAATAACTAAATATCGAAATATGAGGAGTTCAATGGCTCTTATCAATACCCCCAAAATATTGGATGGTTAGAACGAGACTGCAGTAAAGTTGATATATTATTTTCAGAGTATAAAAAAAATTAGCCTGGCTTGAATGTGTTTAATTTTGTTAATACGCCATTGGGAAATGTTACTATTGGCCGCCAGCTGACTATATGTTTTAGCTCAATAAATAGCGGCAAAGCGGCTTAAGAACTTAACGGTATCCTAGACAAAAGTAGCCTCTCATTTGTATTGATTTTACATCGTCATCCATTGTATTGCGTTTTGTAAATTCACGATTTCTTGTATGCTCAGGGTCGTACGATCCGACGGATCTGTCTGACAATTGCTGCGATTTTGACTGTTGTGAACGCATTGATTTTGACATTGGGGAATTATGTTGCTGCCTTTGCCGTATAATGTGAGTAGCATTCGCCGAAACTTATATCAAAGAAGACTATAGTCTTCAATTGGCAAACAAAATAGTGAAAATATGCTTTATAAAGAAGAATAACCAATTTATTACATCCTGGTGTAGGTTTAACCTTGTAGCTGAAAGAAATCATATTCTAGACATGTATATCGATTTAGAGTGTATATCACCACGATATCAGCCATAAAAATTAGTCCAGGCTCTTGTATTCATATAACGAGAGAAATCGGAATGTTTGAAAAATTGATACTCTCGAAGTATGTGCACCAAGATGGCGGAAATCGCAACGTAGTATGTGTATCAGGTTAGGATTAGGCCATACTTTCAGGTTCAATTATTACGGGAGTCACTTGGCTAGACCCCAAACTCGTAATAGAACCAAAATAGGAAAAATTGGAATAAAATTATGACCTAACCCTAACCTAGTATACATACTACGTTGCGGTGTCCGCCATCTTGGTAACATACTTCGGGAGCACCGAAAAAATCTTATAAAATGGATAATCGAAAAACGGTTAATTGAAAGTAAATTTGTTTTAATGGGTTCATGCTTATTTTTAATAAATATTACTATTATAAATAAAAATGTATATTTCCAGCTGTTCCGCTCTTGAAGACGAATAAAGGAAAAATAGTTGAAGTCTTCATAATACTCTTCCGGGATTGAAATCATTCACATACAGCAGGTACTATGTACTGTAAAAAATGTACATCCAGAAAGTGTTTGAGTTAAAATTATAACTTGCAAAGGGAATTGATCAATACCATATATTGTTTTGGCCGTCACCTATGTATTGAATAAAGTAAAAAAAAACTAAACTTCATAACAAAGTTGTAAATGGACTTTATGGATATCCTGTATATTCGTTTTAAAATTACCTAAAATTGATTTGCCTATTCAAATATCTAATGAAATGTTTTCTGCTCATCTGCAATTCAATTAAACGATTGGGGATAGGTTTTGACATGGACCCTATTCTGCTGACCATTATTATAGAGCCAATATTTTTCATTACTTCGATTTACAACTCTGTCAACGAGTATTTTTCATATATTCTTTTTGAAGATTTAGCATTAACAAATATAACATATAAAAACAACTTGAACGTGTATGGGATAACCATCTAGTCTTGTGGTACGTTCTACCTTGGATCAGGGGTCGGGTTAGGTTCATACGTTGAGCACTTCTGTTTATTGACGCTGCTTGTATATTTTAAGTCGTTCTGAATTGATTTGTGCTATTTATGTCTGGTAGCAGATCGCGTTTGAAAGGTACAGAGAAAAAAAATCTGCGACATAATAAACCGGCCAATGCTGTTCCTAAGCGAGAAAACAAGAGAGTAATACTGGAATACAGTCTTTCACAGTATCCTACCGTACGTACCCGCAGTGTTCACGACTTCGCTCGAGCGCAAGTTCGCTGTGCAAAGGCGGAATCGCCACAGGTGGCGCTAATTTTATTTTTGATGACGTCACCACACACAAAGAACGAATCACTTGAGAGTTCACAGAAATTTTTGAAATAAATAAAGGTAATAGCCTTCTAGCGAAAAATACAATCTTCAACCAATAAAAATTTTAAAGCAATTAATCCAGTAATTAAAAAGAAACCCAATTTTTTAAAAAGTGATAAAAAGAAAAAATTTTAACAACAAGAACATAACAAACAAAACGATCCATATGTTCACTCCGAGTCCAATAATTCATATATTCTGTTTCAAATGTGTGAATGTCAACTGTCATCAATTTTTAATTTTTTTGTTGGAAAATAAACAGAAATGTTTATTTAAGGGTAGATTTTAGATAATGTGTGACAGAGATGTATTAGCAAGTACGGCAGTTGTTTTGAAACTATTTTGTTCCCAAGTAAATAAAGTATTGTGATCAACTTTCAAAACTTATCAAATATTGGAATTGAGACTTTATTACAGATGGAATATTCTAGTAACAAAACTATATAAAAATATTGATTCAGACAATATATCACAGAAACAAATTGAATTAAATCACGAGACGAAAATATGTTTTGTTATTGTCAATTGTCGCCGTACGCTGTTTTGCTAAGACATATTAATAATCCTAACGACGTATTTGGAGTTACAGAAAATTACAAAAGCGCTTTTTTGCAGACTGTGAAATGGATAGGATAAACAACAGCTAATAGTTTCGGGTATAAAAATAGAGACTGAGGTTAGCAAAGAAGCTTTACTCTTCAGACATTTAAAACGGGTGGATATAATTGGAAACGAAATTCGGACCTTAGTGATTCCGTATTCCACAATTGTATTACCGCTCAAGTGTTGTGAGTGTGACGCAAATAATCTGTTTCAGAGCTAATTGTTTGATTCAGTGATTACCGATTTGTAAATGAATCTAGGCGCATCAGAAAGGCATAACAGCAGTGGCGGCGCGTCAATAGGGCCAACCGGGGCAATGCCCCGGTTGTTTTTTCGGTATAATAAAAAATATTCGAAAAATACCTCAATATCGGTTGCACATACTGTCTACACTAGCCATATTCTCCCGACATGGTTCATTTTTCGCTCGCAAAGCCTTCGCCGAACGTCGACGGGGCGACGCTGATTTTGCCCCGGTTGCTCATTGTATATCGTATTCTCTTTTTCATCTTCCACTCGCCGCGTTTGTCTCGTTTGTTTGCTGTTCCTTTTACTAAATCATCGGGGCCGATCGGGGCTAGCCCCGAAATTATGACGACACAATACCGACGTTTCTTACAACAACGTGTTGACATATTCACGCATTCCTTCTCGTTCGTTGGTTGCTTGAAGAGTTGATAGTTTCCTCGCCTTCGTTTTTGTCGCTTGTTTCGTTATTTGAATCAGTTAGAGACCTTTAGTCCATTTGCTTTCGATTTTCCACATTCCTTTTGAGCTCCTCACTTCTTTCCGGCTTCGCATTTCTTAGCCTTAAACCTCATAATGAATAAGGTTGATGCACTACTTCGCACTCCGTTTTCGCAGCTGCCGCTGGAACAAAAATTAGAGGTGCAACCTCTTGGGCCTTATCAACCAAAAAATTGTTCACTGGAACAATCCCATGACGGAGGAAAGCGTCGGCGTACATTCTGCGCAGAAACTTGGTATAAAAAACACGAATGGTTGTGTTACAGCGAGGAAAAAAATGCACTTTTTTGTTTTTATTGCCTACATTTTGCTACCGCCCGTGACTCACGTTGGTGTAAATTTAGTTTTAGAGATCTTAAACATCTTTCCGAGCGTGCCAGGGAGCATCAATCTTCTATGGAGCATCTGGACAATGCAGTAAAATACCGAACATTCGGAAATGTTAATATTGCAGCACAGTCTGATGAAGGACGCGCGGTTTCTATTCGTCGGCACAACCAAAACGTCGAGAAAAACCGCCATGTTCTCGGTCGATTGATAGATGTTTTGAAGTTCATTCGTTGTCACGAGCTGTCCCTCCGTGGGCACGATGAACGGGCTGGCTCTTCTAATAGAGGGGTATTTTTGGATATGGTGGAATACACCGCATCCCTAGATACAGTATTGAGAGATCATTTTGATGCCGCAACTGTTTCGAAAGGGACATCTAAGGATATCCAAAATGATTTGCTCGACTCAATGTATAAAATTTATTTACAACATTTGGCTCTGGAAATTGAGAATTGCCAGTTCCTTTCGATTCAGTCTGACGAGACAACTGACATCAAGTGCGTTTCCCAACTGGCTGTGATTTTTCGGTTTGTGAAAGATGGTAAACCTACCAAGAGATTTCACAGCTTTGTACCAATCGTTGATCGCACGGCTTGCGGGATATCGGCTGTACTGAAAGAAGCGTTACAGCCTTACAACGCGAAGTCAAAATTGATAGCTCAAACTTATGACGGCGTGGCAGTCATGAGTGGGTCGAAACATGGTGTTCAAGTTTATATAAAAGAAGATTTTCCTCATGCGCATTTTTTACATTGTTATGCACACCAATTTAACCTCGTTATTAAAAATATATGTCTTGATACCCCTCTCGTCCGTATATTTTTTGAAAATGTTTCGGAGTTTTCTTCATTTTTTTCCGTTTCGCCGAAGCGCTCTGACCTCCTTTGCCAGATATGTAGCCGCCGTCTCCCAGCTTGTGCACCAACACGTTGGAACTTCCAATCACGCGTGGTGCCGGGCGTGTCCGAAATTAGGTCTGAGCTCATTGAGTGTTTCAATGGCATTCAGAGCTCTCCGGTTTGGGACGAACGCTCTGTGAGGGAGGCGGCAGGTCTAAAGCGTCTGCTAGAAGATGGTGAGTTTTCATTTTTTCTCCACAATATTCTATCACGTGGATGTATTATACGGCGCATTGCAGTCAAGGCTAACGGATGGAGCGTCTGTGCAGTCGTGTATTTCAGACTTCTGCGATGCTGTATCTCGTATCCGGGAAACAATAAAATACGACGACACATGGAGCGCTTCTTTACGCCGCGGGCAAACAACGCAGCGTTTGATTTTGTCTGCAAAGGAATGCTGTGACATTCTGGTGAATCAAATAGGCTATCGTCTGCGCACTGAACACCTTGCCGCGTTCTCTTTGATGAACCCCAAAAATTTTTCAAAATTTGCACGTCAATTTCCCATCCATTTGTTGGCTACTGTCTCCAAATTTTATCCCATGATAAACGTGGGTAAATTGGAAAATGAATTGCAATGTATATACCCCAATCAAACTTTTTTGAACATCACATCAACTTGCGCGCTCTATGGGTTCCTCATAGATAACACTCTAGTAACTACCTTTGCGGCGTCTGCAAAATTTCTGGACATCATTTTGACGACGCCTATTTCTTCCGCCGACGCAGAGCGAACATTCAGCACGCTGAAGCGTATTAAAACGTATCTCAGAAACACAATGAAGCAAGATAGATTAAATTCCTTGGCTGTTTTATCCATTCACAGAGACGTTATTTCTGAGATGCATGACTTTAATCAGCGCGTTATTGAGCATTTTGCTTCCAAGAAACCGCGGCGTGTTGCATATATGTTCAAGCAGTAGAAGTCTAGCAGCATATATATCTATGAGTGAGCGACGCATGTCCTTATCTTTGCATTACCTTTCCTTTCTTAATAGTAACGTTTTAAACCTTATTTTAGGTTTTGTCTGCTTTCTCGAAGTTTCTGTTAATATGTCATTGTATTTATCTGGGTAAATATTGCCTTTCCTTTTGAAAGAGGTTTCAAAATAAACTATGTCTATATTTATTAATCCCTTGACTTGGACCGGTTTTAAAGACACTTTCTTATCGTTAAAAATTGTCGCTTTTGCCGATTGGTTGTTACCGATGGAATGGTTTTTATACTCATAAAATGATGGGAGAACTTACAGCGCTCATCCTGTCCCCGTATATGGGGGTGACTTGGTCCCTCAGTAGCTTGCCCCGGTTGTCAGGTAAAGCAATCACATTGAATAAAGCACATTTGATTTTTGGACTGAACTGCTCAAAAATCGGCACTCCAGAAGTATGTGTACTAATATGAAGGTAACTAATTTTGTTCGCCTACGTTACATCAAGTTGTGTAAAGGGACTGAAGCCTATGGGCAGGGGGTATATCTACTTGACTAGCAGAGCCTTCCCGAACTCGTAATAGAACTAAAATAAAGAAAATCGGAAAAAAACTGTGGCCTAACCCTGACCTGGTACACATACTATGGAAGTACCCAAAAATCTGTATATTTTATATTGTTTTTATCATATTTTTACAGCAGTAATGCCTCTAATATGAATACTCTGAAACATATTCCGTGTATTTTTTTCGTGGTGTCGTATTCCACAATTTATGCAACTGGACAGCAACAGCCTTCGGAAAAATGTGCATCTGCCATTGCTGTCATTGGAAGCATCGTTAATATGGTAGATGGGCATATTACGGTAAGAGATTGTGGAGAATACCAATTAATATCATTTAGGGGTCCTTCGATATTGTGTATCAAACTGCAAATCGTTTCCCCTTTTCTTCTTATTTCGTATTCACAGTGTTCATTGAACACGAAGTCGACCTATGTATTATGGATCGTTTTTCTATTTTGTTTTTGAGCTTCACGTTAGTATTTTTTTTCTTCTTCTTCTTCTTATGAAAAAAATCGGTTCTCTCTCTAGCGACTGGACCAATTGCTAAAATTAAAGAGATTAAAGATTGTCGCTAGAGGGCTAGTACTTTCACTAAATTTTCTATGAATCCAATGATATCTTATATTTCATCCAAAATTTCACAGTATTATTTTTTATTCATGGGAACACGTTTTTATTCATGGTCTTCACATTTTTTATTCATGGTCTTCGTATCCATATAATTGAGCATTGCTCTCTTGTTTCACTTACCTTGCAAAGAAATATTATTTATATAATGTTTGTTTGGACCAAACCAAAAGGTGTCACGGGCTCGTCCGTTTCTGACTTAAGTGCCTTTGAGCAAATTGGGAAAAGACTGCGACGAATGAAAGGTAGGATACGGTTAGGTACATCTCAGTTTGTTTTGAACTTTGAGTATTTAGACAATTCGTAGCAGAAAACTGCATTTTCACAAAATATTTTTAATTGCGTCTATGTTAGCAGAAGAACAAAGTGGATTTCGACTTATCAAATAATTTTGACACAGACAAGTTTGTAAACGCATTAAATACTTCAATTCTCCTCAAAGCTAGCTGAGAAAAATTTGAATTCCTGAAATTTGAAATGATGAAATTACTCAATATTCTTGTGTAAAAAAAATTCTATGAAATAAACTTAAAACATATTATTACTGCAAAACAATTCGAAGATTGCACGGCGGATGTCGCATCGTCGTAAGCTTTAGGAAGACACTTGCCATAGCACCTCTGATTCACTTAATGGGTTCGCAGGTTCAAATCTGGTGGGGAATGATAGGATTGCTGGATTCTTCACCGTTGTAGGCTGGTTTACGTAACCGCTGGTTGGCTACAGCTTTCTCCGCCATCAAGTACATGCATCTAGAAAAAAAACATGGCGAACGCGTCGTGGACAGTAATCAGATGAGAAGCGTGGTACGCTAATGTTTAACCAGTCTTATCAGGTCCTTAAACCTCTCCTCGGGATAAAAATGATATCTTATTCCTATTGAATTAATCTAACTAAGCCATGAAATTGAACAGGTATGTTATGATATATTTCTTTTGTTTAGAATATTGCTACGCTGGAGCTTACAGCGGATACATTCCTATGTCCCACATCAAAGCATCATCCATTCACCATACTATTCCTTTTCAATATCTCCGACTACACAACCCTTTAGGCGCATGGTGTGCAGCAACAAGTATGTGCTTGTGTCTTAATAGTTATCAATTTCTAATTTGATGTTATGAGTAGAGACAGAGACAGATGGTTTGATAGATATATATTATATATTTTATTTTGCAATAGTATAAGTAGCCATAGCTTGGTAATTTTGTAGAATCGTACAAAGCTTTCAGTTCTTTCCTCAGCTTACACATTTAGTGAATGATCCTTGTTGAGATTGCAAACCAAGTAAACCAATCAGCATATTCTCGACAAATCCAAACATGTTGAAACGTTTAATTTTTACCTGTCATGGAAAATTTACTTTGTCATGGTCCGAGCCAATACCTACATTATATCGTTTTACTATGATACTATGATACAAAAGTAGTAACTATTAGGCCTCGCGACAGGGTGTTCCAATCGGCTGTCACCAAATTACCTCCGCCCTTTGTCCAACAAAACTTTATTAATTAGAACGGATTATAATTTATATAGCGAACAAACGGCAATAAACATACTAGAAACCGTCAAAAACACTCCGTTTCATAGTCGATGATTGTAAAATCAAGTGATACTCCCATGTAAACAATTATCCCGATAAGTCTATTTAGTCTCATGTAACCACAAATAAAATAAAAGTCTTAGATTACATGGCCAGGCTCAAACCACATATTAATTAATCTGTCAGTGAAACTCCCAAAGTAGACACTACTCGCGCATGTCACATCTCTCACGTCACGTCATTCGATGTGTGTTAATAAAATCTTTTTAGGGTTGCAAGGTTCATTTTTTAGTACTCCCGAAGTATGGGAACCAAGATGGCGGATACCGGAACGTAGTATGTGTGCCAGGTTAGGTTTAAGCCATAATTTTATTAGAATTTTCCTTATTTTAGTTCTATTACCAGTTCGGTGACTAGCCAATTGACTCCCGTAGTATTTGTATCTGAAATTACGGCCTAACCCTAACCTGGTACACATACTACGTCCCGGTGTCCGCTATCTTGGTTCACATACTTCGGGAGTACCCTGTTTTTGTTATGCTCATATATAATAATCGGTGAAATAATAAAATAAAAATAAATGGTGCTAATAAAAATGTTCACTAGTATTTGTTTCTGAAAATTTCTGAAAAAATTTTTTGGGGATAGACCAGATAGATATATGTTTTTGTAAAAGTATTCCTTACCATAATAGAGATGGAATGTATCGTCTGCCTATGTATCTTCCTTTTCTAATATTTACTAATAATCTAATAATGCCATCTTGGTGACTCAACACAGAAAAATCAAAATTCCTGCTGTGGTACATTTCATTAAGATGGTACAATATTTTGAACGGAAATAATAAATCCAACTATTTTTCAAATATATTAAGATGATTAGAACCAATGGCTGCAAGTTGATCTACAAGAACCCACAACTGTGACAGGTCTGTTGACTCAAGGAAGATCGAATTGTTGTAATCAGTGGGTAAGATCGTTCAAAGTGTCGTACGGCAACAGTGAGAGTTCATTGGCAATGTACCAAGAAAATGGGGCCACAAAGGTGAATATCTTAACATTATATTTTTTCATTTGTTAGGAAAATGAATATATATATATATATTCGAAAAGAGGAGGACCAGTTCAAATTAGTGCGTACTTAGTCAGTCGATACAATACACCGATTCGCAGAATTAACGTTAGCACGCATTAATACCCATTGTTTCATCCGCCAGTCAAAGCAATAATCTTCTGCATAAATCTTGATCGTCTGGACAAGAGTCTAGACGTTGTTTTGTCGTTACAGGTAAAAACTACGGTATTTATTATAAAATATGCTCGATTAAGCGCCCATAGTTGTAAACAATTAAAACGACCTGCAGTAAAGAAAAAAAAATTTAGCAATATAATAAAACACAATGAAATGCTTGAATTTCATAAACGTAATTGATTTTAAGATTTTCACTGGGAATCACGACGAGACGACAATTAAAGAGAATCGCTTCAGCCAGCCGATTACAGCAAGGTACATCCGGATTCATCCTGTCACTTGGCAGGATCACATCAGCATGAGAATTGAAATTCTAGATTGCTGAGAATGAGACAGAATGCAGTAGGCTTTATTAATGCGATAATATTACTTGTTCAAATATAAATTTGAATTGTGTACGTGTCTGAATTTATTTCTCGCAGGTTTTGAAATATTAAATCCCCGTGCTATTGGGGGTGGTCATGGTTGCGGTGCTCTTTCACGTCACTAAGCGATTCTTGTTGTCACAGGTCAATTGCGACTGACATCGCTTAGTTGTCGTCAATATACGGAAATTCAATAAATCAAGCATTTGGAAATAACAATTATTGAAAGGTGTGCTCTAACAGCCCAAAATTGATTTTTTTTTCATAAATTTTTTGTGCAAATAAAATGGAGGGATTACGGGATTGAAAAATGATGAAAAAACCAAATCGTAATAAAGATTAAAATGCCACAGAACCTCAAAGGAAAGTAGTGTTTTGTCGTAATTATGACAAGGCCAATGCCGACATCCCAACGAAAAAAAGGCTTAAACAACAAGTAATTTCCAGTCACGGGTCAGAAAAATCTTTAACAATTGTCGTTCCCTGGAAAAACAATATAAAAATTAGTTGCCCAACATTTTGGATGTTCTTGGGGAGAACTCTCATTTTAAATTTGGTGTATATTCGAAAATATTATTTAATTATTCAGTATTATTATAATACGTATTTATGGATATCTTATAAGTTATTCACAATGTGCACAAGTGCGAGTTGTTCAAAGCGCTGGCTAAGGATCCATTAAAAATTTAGGAATAGGAAACAGAATTTTTAGGTGTAGTTGGGGAGGGATAAAAAGATCCAAATGAGGCATTACGAAATTTGTCGAAAAAGTATGGGAACCACTGCCATAGTAGTTTCAGTGAATTTGTCGTTGCGAACTTATACAAATTCTTTATACACTGTTACTCTTTGCTTTCTAATTGTATGGTGCTCTGAAATTCATACCACGCATTCAAGTAGAGTGGTAATCTTAGAATCTCATCACTTATTACTATATTATGAATCGAAGCATCACACATAAGGATGCTAAAGTATGATAAGAAAGCAAATTGATCGATACAAAATTTTACAATGACTTCAAGAGATTGTAAATTTAAACAATATTCAAAGAATATTAAAACTATTGATACAGGAAAGCTCAATTAAAGAAAGAATTAGAGTCCCCAAATATAATTATATAATATATATATATATAGTATAGTATAATAATAAATTTGAAAATTTAAACCTCTCCCTTTTCTTCATAGATCACAATGTAATTGATTCCATTTTGGTAAACGATATTATGGACATCACAATTGGTTGCTAAAGTGAAGTATACGACATGTGTTGCTGAACTGATATCACATGTCATCGGCCCCCCTAAGATGTATAAAATCGGTCGGTACTTTTTGCTACATGATTTCAGAATATGCACCTACTCTAACCAATGTATTTTCTTACCCCACGAGCAGTATTTCTGCCTTGTTCCCAAATTAAGTTAGTAAGTTTTACTTGATCAATTGTTAACGGTATAATATACGATGTGTTCTGGCTTAGCATTATCAAGTTAGGGTACTGTCTATGCCAGGGGTCCGCAACTACTGAGTCGCGACCCAATTTAAATTTTCCATAAATATGAGCATCGCGTCTGTGCAGCGTATTTATGTATAACAACTTTATAAATCTCTTATTATAATTATGAATGTTTCCCCGAGTATACACTTCCTTATTTACTGCCGTAACATTGGCCAATCAGCATAAGTACAAAATTGAAGTAACAATAAACGTTTCAGAAGCGCTCAGATACGTTTGCCATTCAGACAGTCTTTCGTGGTTGTGATATTACCTCGTTTTGTCGGTTTTTGCGTGTTATTTGTTATATTTTAGTTGTGTTTTGGTAACTATAAGTCCTAAACTCGCAAAACCATTCTTGAAATAAGTACCAATAATTTTGCAATGGTAGAGTGAGGAAGAATTCAAGAGATCAAAAGTCGGGGAAACATTCATTACTTAGTTGTTCGCATTGTTATATCCTACTACGTAGACTTTAGGTTCTCAAAGTGCTCCGTACAGAGCTTTAGGACTCCGTTAAAAACACTTAAAACTGTCCTCGACCCACTGCCCTATCTCCATCTACTTACCTATACTCGACCGACTCCCCGACCCCCCTCAACTTTCCTATCCTCGATCCACTGCCCTAACTCCCTCGACCTTCCTATCCTCGACCCACTACGCTATCTCCCTATCCTCGAACCACTGCTCTATCTCCCCCAACTTTCGCATCCTCGACCCACTACGCTATCTCCCTATCCTCGACCCACTGACCTAACTCCCTCAACCTTCCCATCCTCGACCCACTACGCTATCTCCCTATCCTATACCCACTGCCCTAACTCCCTCATCCTTCCTATCCTCGACCCACCACGCTATCTCCCTCAACCTCTCTCTTCTCGACCTACTGCCCTATCTCCCTCAACCTACTTGTCCTCGGACCCACTGCCCTATCTTTAACCTACGGTGCTATACTATTTGGTACCTGACCTAACGGCGCTTTATTCACGACCCGATTGCCACACTGAACTTTACTATCTCGTAACCAACTTCCATGGGTTATACTGGTCGTGTATGCCAATGATATGATTCAATCGTACGTCGACAAAACATGATTAACGGCATTCGTATATGTAGGCTGGAATCTCAAATAGTAAACAATAACCTTAATTGGCAGTTTAAAAATGTTTTACTAATTGGGCTACTAATGGTTTTTTTTGGTGGGAATAACAGTTTCCTAAATTTTAATAAGCCGTTTATGCTCTTAATGATTGGCCTTGTCGTGAGTTTTGTGACAATATGATGCTGATTCGAAATAAGCAATAGTGCTCTAGTCCGTATAAAGTATTTTTCTTCAACATTTTATAGTAAAAGCGATGCCAAAGATTACGTACGAACTGCGTCCTTTGCAACTTCATTAAGTTGCAGATAAGATAAGCTCAATTTTGGGACTGTACGCTGAATTAAAGGGCAGTTGGCAACGCTAGCTACGACAAAACATTTCATGGCTTAAAAATAGTTTGGAAGGGATTACACTCACTGAGCGACTTATATTTTTGACTGTTTTTGACTTTTCAGCCTTCTTAGTCACGTAAAAGAAATTTGTATATACAACAGTATATGGCAGAACATTCGTTCAAAATGACTAAGCGTGCAAATATTTGAATACTTCCTCATCGTTTTGCCTTGCACGGAAACATAGGCGACATTGAATCAGTTTCTGAAAATGAACTCAGGTATGTCGATATCAAATGGCCTTTCAAAATTTTAAAAACCGTCACCTCAAACCCGATGCCATCAGTAGCCTAATTAGTAGCACATTTTTAAGCCACCAATTATGGTTATTGATTACCAATTGAGATTCCAGCCTACATTTACGAATGCCGTCAATCATGTTTTGTCGACGTACGATTGAATCATCTTATTGGCATACTCGACCAGTATAACACATGGAAGTTGGTCGCAAGATGGCAGAGTTCATTTTGACGATCGATTCGTAATTGTAGCGCCGTTAGGTTAGGTGCTGAGTGGTATAGCGTCGTGGGTCGAAGGTAAGTTAATTGAAGGAGGCAGTGGATAGAGGAAAGAAAAGTTGAGTGAGATGGGGCAGTGAGTCAAGGATAAAGGGGTTGAAGGGGATAGGAAGGTTGGGGGAAATAGGACAGCGGGTCGAGGATAGGAAGGTTGAGGGAGATATGGCGTTGGGTCGAGGATCGGGAGGTGGAGCAGTTGGCCGAGGCGAGGGAGACAGGGCAGAGAATCGAGAATAGGAAAGTGGAGGGAGATAGGACAGTCGGTCGAGGATTTGAGTTGGGATGACTGTATAACTTTACTGGCTCAAGTCTAAACCAGAGGTCGGCAAACTTTTGTCGTTTGCGGGCCAAAATTAAAGGTTGCAAGTCATTGACGGGTGGCACGTATTTTAGAAAGTTAAAAACCAAAGGAATGGCTAATGAATCACATTTTTTCACCCAGAAATTTCAAGCAGTGCGCAAATACTGATCATTTCAATATTTTCAGCGTCATTAAACCATTTGCGCTATCAACTTTTTTACGTTCTGTTGCCATTTCTCTAATTATAATCAATTATAGGCTCATTAAACGAGTGATTGTAAATTATATACTTGTTAGGTTATAGTATAATTTAGTTTCTCAAAACAAATTTTGTTACGTAAAGAATATATTCGTCAATAAAGCTGTTTTGTTAATATAATTCAGTGAAGCGTCGCGGGCCGAATCAGGCCCGTGGGCCGTAGTTTGCCGACCCCTGATCTAAACCCTTCAATGAAAGTTTGATCATTTTACTGAGTCGGCCGATATTTTTCCCATCACTGCATCAAGAAATCACTGATACATGCATAGACCGAATTCGATAAGAAGGTATCAAATATAATTGGCTTCCTAACTACAAACTCTCCCTTAACAACGAAACATTGCGATAATCCTAAGTGCTGAAAGAGCAACTCAAAAATACGATTTCAATCCATTTATTGCTAGTAGACGGTTTAACAAGCATTTCATGGTTGCCGTAGTATATTAAGTAACTCAAAGGCGAGCAACGTTGAACACAATTGAATTGATATGACATGACATTTTAAATTCTCGGGTCGACCATGGATTGAGCGATGAGTGTTGCTCGGAAATTTTCTATTCGCAATGTATCGCAATGTATAAAAAATCTGAATATGCAACTCTCGAAATGGCAGTACATTAGATAGTATAACCTACGATACACAAGCATTTTGTTGAAGCAAGAAACATACTGATCTTACCTGGAGTCTATAAAAACATGTTCACAAAATATGACAATTCTGAATAGCGTTTGACTCAACGAAAGGAGATTTCTTTTCCACCTAATCTAAATTTAAAAATTCAAAAACGAAATGAGGTAGAGCAAGGGTGGGCAAGGTTTTAGGCCAGGGGCCAAAAAAAGAACCCAATTTTTTTTCTCGCTATCGATTGTACTCTTTCTAGGTGGACAAAAATTCGCCACTAATAATTTCGTGATCAATCTTCACGACTTAAGGTTCATGGAAGGAATGCATCAACAGATTATAAAAAACCATCGAGAAACGATAGACTAAATTACATGACAAGAATGCCTAAGCTATAAACAAAAAGAACGTTAAGAGAGCGTTATGGGGACGTTAGCAAAACGTTGTCGCGCTAAATTGAAACTCTCGGCTGCGCGTGACCCCCGTCAAATTGAGTGAGCGAGAAAACGTGAAGTTTTGCTAACGTCCTCATAACATGAAAGTCTGTGGCAACCTAAAACACAACTTACACAGACTACGATCATGAACTAACAAGCCTATTGCAACATACAGATTTTGATAACAACAAATATGTAGTGCAGAAATGGTTGAAAGCAGAAATTTATGGCAGCACCAGGCGGGCCAGATTGAATTACACATCAGGCCGGATTTAGCCCGCGAGCCGTAGTTTACTCATGTCAGAGGTAGAGCGAACATATATTACTCTGGAAAGATATTTAGTCAGTTGAGAAGTTTTGTTTACTATAACTATAACTATAATAGTAGTATTATGTCAAATAAACTAAGCATTTGTTTGTATTAGCAGATATTGATTTCTCTTGTCCCGTGACATACTCATACAACAAAAGTACGAGCACGTAGAGTTTATATATAGCGAAATATGACTGATTTTAATACGAAAGTCTGGTCGTAATTTTTAAAAAAGCGGCTGTTCAGATGCTTTTTGAAACAGTATAAATACTTGGAAATACAGAGTAAAGCAATTAGACTTCTGGATCTGCGTATGTTCATCCTATTAACGGGCACGTATTCCGAGAAGTCGCACATCCTATTTATGGAAATTATAAGACATAACTATACCTAGTCTGGCATCTTGCTGAGACTCAAATGCTGTAAATATAAACATAAAAGGTTTAAAAAGAGTGTCTCGTATGTACTAAAAAAAATGTTAGGCATGTCACGGTTATGTCTTAGCAATTTAAAATGTAAATTTTATGTAATGGGAGAAATGGTAATATCATGAATCGCATCATGTCGTTTGCAAAGCACATCACATGACTTATCACTGAAAATACGTGCAGTGTTTTCATAATATTAGTTGCCGACATTAGCGCTCAGCTCAAGACTTTGTATTTCGATCATCTTTGGTATTTTGTGACTAATATCACAAGATTGATTATCGAAATCCGTTATTACTAGATTATTTCGTTCAAGTATTTTGTTATTGTAATTATGTAATTAAAAGTGGAAAACGTGATCCGCTGCAAAAACTCATCTGCGTAAACGTTAAAATGGTGTTGTTTTATTTACGTTAGTAATTAAAAGTTTGCCTCTCCTCTTATTAAATAAAATTAACGAAATGCAATAATAATAAAATACGCTGGTAAGCGTCTGGGATCTCCGCTGATACATGAGGCGACCCGCGCTTCAGTAAACTGTTACCATCCACGCAAAATTGCAACAGCGACAGCGTACTGCAGTGCTTGGGATACCAAAACTGCCAGATCATTTTGAGCGCTATACTGCGGCTAAAAATTAATGTTGTTCGCTGAAATTCCAGACTCTTAACAAGATGAAAAATGACTTCTCCGAAAAAGTATTTACTTCTGCTGGGGGTAGTGATCTCAGAATTGTAATTGTTGAGGTGGTGGCGATAAATTTTGAGGACAAACTAGAAAATTCTCAACTCAGCGTAACCCACGTTAGAAATTCGATTCAGATCGGTTCGGCCATTTAGACCCTGCAGCTAAACACACAAACAGACAACTCCGAAACTCCACCTCCGTTAACGCAACCATGGCTATCGTGAAATGTGTTCTTGCTGATAACCACGTTTCCGCACTCGCTATCAGTTTGTTTCCAATGGAGATTAAATTGAATTTTAAATTTTCTAATGAATGTATTGTTACGATGTATTTCGTGTTTTACCATACAATATTCAGTACTCAAGAAGTACTTGAACCAAGATGGCGGACAATTCCAATTTTCCTTATTTTAGTTTTATTCGGGAACTAGCTAAGTGTCTCTCGTAGTGTTTGTACTTGGAATTATGCTACTGGTACACATACTACGTTCCGGTGTTTCCCATCTTGATTCACATATTTCGGGATATTAAATTATTTTATATCTCTGGCGACAACTTGTGACGTTAATAGCAGGGACAAACTTTATCACCGAACTGACCGAAATTATAATGTTGAAACTGTCGACTAAATGTAGAGATTGACGTCTATTATCTACTTATGTTTTTAGATTCCTAACCTCAAAGTCGCAGTTGTTTTCTGTGGTCCCGGTACACGCGACTAGGGTTTTGTTTTTTATCAATTCTAAAAAAACATCGTGTTTTAAAACAAGGGCTTGTTTTAAATCATTTTTTTTTCTAAATTTTTTGTATTTTTTATTGAAATACCCCTTTCATCGCCGCAAAACTACGCCAAAACGTTGCATCCTGGCAGCTGCGTACGCAGCCGGAATTAAAATTTCAAAAAGTTGTGAGTGAAAATTCTTATTTTGGCTTTTACTTCTATTGTGTACATTTATCGCTACGTTTGTATCTCCACCAAAGTCATTAGATTTTAACCGGAATGTTTATCCGAGATATCAGAGAGACATTTTGAGTAAAAAAAATAATGAAACTTAGCTCACGAGTCTACTACAGAAGCAATTAGATCAAGGGCAGCCTTCGGCAAAACGAGTGGGTTGCGATAATAAAGAATATGCTTACATCGGCGGCAATCTATCGATATAAACGATGAGACACCCTAGCCTAGCCTATGCTAATAGTAAGAGTCCCCCTGATGCAAAGGCGCCACAACTAATCTATTATGACGCCATATTATGGATTTCGAGTTCATGTACTGGCAATATTCTCATAAAATGAAGGCAATAATTATTACGGTTAATACTGTTCGGTTAATTTATTCTTAGCATACTTTGTTTTTAAGGTTGAAGTGATAGGGTTTTTCAAGATTATACAAACTCATTTATTCGGTCGCATTTCAATTTTCGCAAGTTGGTTTCGTCTTAGCAGGGTCGTTCACGTAATGGCTTATCGGTTGCATCTTATTGTGCAAACCACTGAACTACAGCTTGAGAAGGTGTGTATGAGCCTCTATCGATGTTTGTGGCGTTTTGAGGTATTTATTGCAAATAAGAAGCGCTTATCAAGTTTTTACATTCATTTTTCTTTAACCTATTCAATACAAAAAAATCAAATAGTGCAGCCAATTGGAACAAAACAGGCAAAAAAACTTAAAACAACTTTAAAACAATTGTTTTAAAACAATTCCTTTCAAACAAATCCCTACACGCGACCGTACGTGACTAAAAGTGTTATTGACCGTAGGTAGTGCAGTTTACGTGTAGGTAAACAGATTGTCGATTATTACCAACTCCATTTATGAAGTTCATCACAATGATGATCACATTCTTGAAGTTTTCACATTCCTATTTATTCATCGGATTCAAAGTTATATTTGTAATATGAACAACAAAAAATGTTCGGCGCTCCATAAGTATGTTCACCGAGATGGCGCACAACCTAACTCTAACCTGTACCAACTCCTATATACAGGTTGTGCGCCTTCTTGGTACACATATTTTCGGAGGTCCAAAAAATGTTCTCATTAAGTTTCCGCAATAGATATATTGATGTAGTTGTAAAGAGTGAAATTCTCTTCCGCTACAATAACTTTACATATAACAGGATGAAAATCGAAAAGAAACGATTCAGAGTACATTGACAGTGAAGAAACAACAACATTAAACCAACTCGGCCTTTTTAGCAGCCCGTTGGCATACTTTACTGGATGGAGACCCTTAAGTGTCAGTTATGTTGACAAAGATAAAACACGAGATGATACTGCGAGAAAATCAAAGCTTGTTGGCACAAAAACAAATTGTTATTAAATATTGAATCTATGGAAGACAAAAATATATTAGGTCTATACATTAAAAAGGTTAGTTTACGATAAAAGCAAAATAATGGGGTGATGAGTCGTCCAGCATATGAAGTGGTTATGTTTTTCTGATGCATGGCAATTCATATAAACGTTTCCCGTTTCATTCTTCTTCGGGTGAGAAACTGTTAAATATATATTTTAGGTAATATTGAAGTTTATACCTAACTAAGGATACCAAATTTTATCTCAATCTGTGTTTCACCGAATAAGACATTCGATTTGAAACATGTCTATTCTCATGTACTGACATTTTATTACAGAATTACCGCGGTAGCGCGTAAGTAATTGTGACGTTTCTTTCAGTAATCATCGCAATTACCAAATCTTACATACAATGACCAAGGCTACAACTCGGTCGTTCGAAAGTACTGGACAACAATCAGACCATGAATTTTGAGCTTTGTTGATATATTGTAAACAATATGCGAACGTATGATGCGTGCGCACACAGTTCATTATCGGTTAAGCAGATTTCGCGCCAGTAAATTAGTTTAAATTATGTTTAAAATCTCAATACAATTAAGAGTGTCCGGAAAATTCGACGCAGAAAATTTCGACATAGGGTATTTCGTCGCAGGAAAATTCGCCTCAGGAAATTTCAACATAGGGTATTTCGTCGCAGGAAATTTCGCCACATAGAAAATTCTCCGTATGAAAAATCGCCACAAGAGCATTTTGCTGTAAAACAAGTATTTGTGATAAAAACAGTTAGATTTATAGGGTTAGGGTATGCTCTTAAATAACGAATATTTTTAATTTTAAATAAAAAGGTTCATTCTAAAACCTAACTGTTTTTATCACAAATACTTGTTTTACAGCAAAATGCTCTTGCGGCGATTTTTCATGTGGCGATGTTTACTATGCGGCGAATTTTTCTAGAACCACAATAAAGTATTTCGATAATCGGCCTTGGCAGTAAAAATGGGAGAAACACATATTTGAGATATTACATTTTTAATCTAACACACTCTCTCCACTAAACGACCATTTTACCATAGATACAAATGCAAAATCATTATATGTTACTCACAGCATATCGAAGACGCAACCCAAACATTCTCCGATGACATCTCCAATCAACCCCTATTCAATGTCATCACAACTGTTTATTCCGCAGCAGTTACTCCCTTCGTGATCATCCGCTCGAGTAGAACTCGAGTATGTAGAATCAGTGGTAGCTGGAAAAAGGTCAGTAAATAGTGAACAACATGATATACAAATAAAAAAATATATAATTTGTGATATCCATTTACAATATATTGATATTTCATAGTTTACATTCAACGATGAATCCACGGACGTTTGGTATCGGCGTTAATTAAATCGTTTCAGTTTCATGATCCAAACAAATACGCATTCAGGGAAAACAAGACTCTCACTATTGCAACATACCTAATTCATCATATAATATACACTAACGGAAATTAATTTTCTTCAGTTCAATACGATAATAAATAAATGAATTATACATACCTGAAGTGCAAGAGACTGAGAGGTCGTCATTTTCGTCTATTGAAAATAAAACTGTTTTAACAATATTGAAACACATTGTTGAAAGTTACTGTATGTTAAATGTATGTATCTCAAATCTTAAAATAGTTAGAGCGTCTTACTTCATTCAAAAAAATATAATTGGAAAAAATTAATGGAAATAAGAATTACCAAACGGCATTGAAGTTAACAGAATAAACACTACTAATTTTTATTGATAAATACTTTTTACGATTGTTTCATTTTCTTATCACAAACATAGACAATTGCATTTAGTTCTATAACTTTTGAGGTTTTATTTGCTTTATCGAATTTTAATTTTCTTCAATTTATTTTGTATATATTTATTTAACTTTCTTCATTTAGTCAAGTGATGGAGTTACAAAACAAATTGGTTACTTCCGTAGTATTGTACCAGGCTAGGGTTAGGCCATAATTTCATTACGAATTTCCTTATTTTAGTTCTATTACGAGTTTGGTAACTGTTTCTGTTAGTCAAGTGAAAACCCATAGCCTCATAGGCTTCAGTCCGTTTACACAACTTGAAGTGAGGTGGGCAAACAAAATTAGTTACCTCCATATTGGTACACACACTTCTGTAACGCAACGAATTGTATAAACCGTATGTGGAAATTTTCGAGCAAACATTAGGTCGCAGTATACTCACCAGACTTCTTTTTGCAACTCTTACAAACAAAGGCTTCATTTGAACGATGGTCGCTTTCAGAAGCTGAATCCAGACATTCGGTGCAAAAAGCTCTTTCGCATCCTTCACAAAACCTGAAAATAACCTTGAGACCTTTATTACTAGCACTCCCTGAGTTGTCAATACAATCGGAACAGTGGAATTTATCTGCTTTGCCTGGCTCACTTAACAATCTCAAAGTCAAGTCAATAATTGAGTTTATGCAAAAGGCTATTCGAATAGGGCGCTGTGAGATAATCTTGAATTTTTTCACTAATCATTTATTCACTTTATTTAGATTAAGTTGATTTTTGACCCTTTGACTCTTGAAAGTCCAGAAAAGTCAAAATTTTAAGTTTAAAGGTATTTCGGCCCCGACTTCAATTAGTACATACTGAACCCCGACTTAGACTCCCAATGCGCTTAGTAAACGGTTCACAGTAACTCAACAATCACTTAACAATCTTCAAGTCAAGTCAATAATTGAGTTTATGCAAAAGGCTATTCGAATAGGGCGCTGTGAGATAATCTTGAATTTTTTCACTAATCATTTATTCACTTTATTTAGATTAAGTTGATTTTTGACCCTTTGACTCTTGAAAGTCCAGGAAAGTCAAAATTTTAAGTTTAAAGGTATTTCGGCCCCGACTTCAATTAGTACATACTGAACCCCGACTTAGACTCCCAATGCGCTTAGTAAACGGTTCACAGTAACTCAACAATCACTTAACAATCTTCAAGTCAAGTCAATAATTGAGTTTTTGCAAAAGGCTATTCGAGTAGGGCGCTGTGAGATAATCCTGAATTTATTCACTAATTATGCAAGTACAAATTATAGAAACTTGTTCTGTAAACAGTGAAAAACTACATTTCCAGCCTTTACTAATGGAAGGATAAAAAGAGTATTTTGTGATTTTATGTATCTGCAAAAGCCGTTACATGAATACCTATTATGTATCGGCTTTATAAATGTAGCAGTGCCCAAGTCAAGAAATTTAAAGAATCAGTTTGAAGGAAGATGTAGCTTCAGCAATCTTCAAGTCAACGCAAAAGACTATTTGATTATATTTGATTAAGACACTGTGAAGACGGTGTTGATTTTATTCACTAATCACGCAAGTAAAAATTATAGAAATTTGTTCCGTAAAGGTGAAGAACTACATTTTCATTCTTTACTAGCGGAAGGATAAAAATAATATTTTATGATTTTATATAGCTACATTTATAAAGCCGATATAAAATACTTGTTGTACTAATGGCTAACATTTACTTTTTGCTATTGATTAACTATACTAGCGTCGTTGTTTACTCACGTTCTGGTTTTCTGCTCTTCGTCAAATACCTCGGTACATCGACAACATCTTGGCGCCAATTCTCCAATTTCGTCTTCGTACAGCACATTGCTATTTATCGCATAAAACAGCGATTGAGGTGCTTCGCCATTCAAATACTGGTAATTATATTTTTTTTATTTGGGAGCATTCATAAGGAAACTAACATATAATTACGTAGATAGATAGATCATACTTTGCAGTAGCAACAAGATTTTATTTAAAAAGAGCAATTTGTTTCGTGTAAGGGCGGCGCGAGTTGTTTTCCCTGATAATTTGGCGCCGCACAAACTGCTGACCTAATAAATTAAAGCAAGTTAAAAGAGCAACTTAAAGCAAGTTACCTTTATTATTCCAAAGCAGTCGTCGCAAACTTTTTGATGCTTTTCGGTGGGAAGGTATGGAAGCCAAATTCGATTCTTACTACATTCATCACAAACAACATTCCCACATGCTCTGCAGTTAATTCTAAATTACGAAAAAATATTGATCTATCCTCGGACATGAAGTTTCCATTCGTATCGTTTCGATAAATCAGTGTTTTCCAACCCCGAGGCGCGGCCTCAAATAAATCCGCGAATTTCGCAGACTTATTGGCTACATCAAGCATTTTCACAAAGAAAAAAATGCTAATTATGCAACGTAGAACAATTATATCTCTGTTCAGCTGTACCATTTTAGGTGCGAAATACCCCTTTGTTTCGTTGTAATGAACTTTTTAAGTTTATAATTAGTTTCCCGTGTTCATAGTCAGAATAAAAAGTAAGTATTTCGGGGCCAGGATTCGAAACACTAATTATAGGAACATAAAAATGTGCAAAATGTCTTACCTGTAGTCACTGAATATTTCGTTGCACCTATGGCAGTTTGCTGCAGTGTCTGACTGAACAAATGGGGGTTTCTTTTCCAAAAAATCTAGAAAAAATCACAATCAAGATAATACATTTGCGCCGTTCAGTCTATATGGGTATTTGATAATTTGGTGATTCATTGCATATTTTCTTTAGAATGCTGCTCATTTCTCATTTTTACAGAAAAGTTAATGATTTACCCATTTCTGTGCCCGAAAATAATGCTAATTATACATATTGTTTTTGCCCTGGGTAAAACGTCCTCGAATTCGATAGTAAATCGTTAATCTGAAGTGAAAATAGTCAAGACTTAAATAAAACTGCTGGGATTTATACAAAAACATATAAACTTCCCATTACTCTTAAAAGCAAACAGTTACTGGTGAACAGTTTTACTAAGCGCATTGGAAGTCTAAGTCGGGGTTCAGTATGTACTAATTGAAGTCGGGGCCGAAATACTTTTAAACTTAAAATTTCGACTTTCAAGGGTAATATAGACAATCAAAATTAATCTAAAAGAACTCAAAATGAATAAAGTTTGCTGAACTTTTTAGAATTTAACAAAATTAAGCTTCCGTGTTCTGAGATATTCACTATCAAAATTTGATATTCTCGGAGTTCATCAATCCGGAGTCATGATTTTCACAACCCGGGGTCGAGTGTCTGGAGTTTATAATTTTTTCCTGGCTGGCAGTCTGTTTTGAGTTCGCTTTGCTCATCTATGAACAATTAAAAATGATATCACAAAATTAAATATATTTAAAAGCTTACCTGACAGGATTGCCATTTGTGGTGTGACCTTCATTTTTTATAATATACAAGTTATGTACTTTCAAAAAGTCTTTTTATTCAAGCGCAATCAATTGTTGATGATGATTGTTGATAATGTAATGATTAACGTTTTTTAGTAAAAAAAGTATTGTTAGCATCCAAAACTTGTCATTGCCCTTCCAGTATGGAATTGCATGTTCGAATTTGTATGCAAACTGTTTTTATTCTGACTGACATATGCCAGGAATATCTACTGGTTAGTTAGTAATAGCTGCTAATGGAAGGTCTTTCTACCTGCTTTACTTTAGACCCCCACACACACGTCTTTCTAATTTTTCTCTCGGTGTCTAAATAACATGTTGAAATATAACTTAACGTTTACTATTCATATATATCTAACATTCTGCTCTCTATAAGTTATACTGATATAGACATAATACATGTACGTCCACAAATGTTTGTTACGGCACTTGTATTTGTGCGTTGAAGTTGAATGTCAATTTAAGACAATAGTAACCATGACAATACAAACAATCTCATCGTGCATTGTTTATCAAACTCGATGCAAACACAACGTAGCACTAAGTAAACTTCATGCTGTAAGTCAGAGTATTGCAATAATTTGAAGTTTTAACTATCACTAAAAATATTTTGAAAAGTATAGCACAGTATTAGGCGCTCCAGAAGTATGTGTACCAATATGGGGGTAACTAATTTTGTTCGCCTACTTTACATCAAGTTGTGTAAAGGGACGGAAGCCTATGGGCAGGCCTACTTGTCTAACACAGACAATCCCCGAACTCGTAATAGAACTAAAATGAGGACAATTGTCATAAAATTATGGCCCTAATCGGTACACATCTTGTTGAAGTTTGACGGAATATTAAACGCAAATTTTTAAACCTCGAAATAATTTGTTGTAAAGAGTACGGTTGTCGGTTATGTTATTCACCATACTCGTGTTGAACTCTGAAACTGGATCAATATTTGCAATAGCAAACAATGAGGATGATAAGTTTGCAAGAGTATTCACATTGCGTAACTTTAACCTTGCTTCCCATATATACACTTTCCTTGCATAAAACTCCTTATATGTGCATACTTGATAGTACAATACACTTGATTCATCTATATATTTAGCCAAGACTGGCAATCTCATAGATTGAGTTATACATTTGAGTATGAGTATTCTTAATTTCATATAAAATGCTTTTACTACATTTTATTTTTAAATGATATAATTGAAACAGTTGAATATGATAAAAATACAGTACAGTCATACGATACAGTCAGAATAAAATCAAATACCAACTCAGGGTGTGACATAAAGACGAGAGAAATATAAGAAATAGGGTGGGGATATTGGGTAATGTATGGATGGATATAAAACGGGTTTCTATACTGAAAGAAAACTGCTCTTTTTTTAATTGTTTACTACTTAATTAGATTTGAAGCACCGCGCTTATAGGTGACTTCAGACAGATTATATGTTTTGGAATGGGTTACATATAGGTAAAACTCATGAAGCTGCAAATGAGAAGTAGAATAGGGAATTGTATGTTTTCGTATAATTCACACCAAAATTTTCTATTGGCGATTTTAACAAGATATTCTAAGATTCCTAAGTTATGTATAATAGCTTCCGAATTGATATCATATTAATATAACTAAAAAAAATAAATAAACATTGAGAGATTGGAATAGGAATTAAAATCTGACAAATTCCATTTGACTTTTTTTTGTTATTGTTCCAAACGTGGAGGTTTCAAGTGTATTCGTGTTGTTTGAAATTTTGATGGAATTCAGCTATTTCCAGCCACTTCACTGACCACATCCCTGATGTACTGCAGTTACAATGTTAAACCACGGGGATTTAATATTCGTTTCCCACAGTTAGCACAGACGGTTTTTAGCAATCCAGTAGTTCCAGCCTCATGCTCATGTGAGAGATGTAATTAACTGGATAAATCCTGATATATCTGGCTTCTATTGCTTCCTCAAAGCGATTTTCAACAGGAGTGTTCATGTCGTTATTTGCTTTGAAAATCTAAACATAATAATATAAAAGTCATAAGGAATTTTGCAAATCATTTTTTTCCTAATTACGAAGTGTAACTTTTGTGAAAAATTTAGTAAATTTTCTCCACTTTCGTAATTAAGTAATTAACAATTTTATTGCTTCCGTTATTTTCTTGGCGGCGGTCCCCGTGCACATACATATTCGCTGTAAAACCATCAGCATATTTATAATTTCATTTGTGTGAGTTGTTTGATTCGACATAGCCTATCAAAAAATGAGACTGCTATGGCATACTCTGAGTTAATAGTAATGTACTTGACTAACTGTTTGAGAATTCTAGGCAAAGTAATTTTTTTTTGAATCAACGCTGTTACATGCAGGTTATACCAAGCTAAAAAAATGACGACAACATACGGTAGATTTGACTTAAATTCAGGTGTTTGAAGAAAACCTTACTTAGATCGTAGAATCGATACACCTGGCAAACAGGACAATTTATGTTTAGCCATGCCCAGACGCGTACAGTTAGTGCAACTGAAACCCGCGTAAAAATTTTGTGTATATAAAATACCTTTTCCGATCCATTTTCTTGGTATGTCCGCAAAGCCAAAACTGAATTTCCATATTGTACTTTGAATGACTTGACATACTGGCCGTACCTGGTTCTTCCTTGTGTAACAACACCGGTGATTGGTCGAGGTTTTTGAAGATCAACTTGCACCCATTCACCAGATCGACCTGACATTGTCACCACGATATGAAAATGTGATTAGTCATTCAGAAATATAATAGCTTTCATTTTTGTAAAGACCGTCGGTTTATTTTTCATCGAGTTCAATCACATATGATGTCCATAAAGTCTGGAAATTTTTTTTTTAAATTGCAAGGGCATTTATTATACCATTTTTTGTTTGGGACCTCACAGATGTATTAAATGAATTAAAAATATTTGAACAATTACTGATTAAAACAACAAACCTGGTTAAGATATATTGAGAACTGACTTCGCAACAAAATTGAATTTGTAAAGGGACTTTATTGACACCCTAGAATACCGATTTTACACATAGAGGTATTAAAAATTGCACTAGTTCTATGCAATAGTACCATCCGTTTTTTTTTTATTTTCAATTAGTATTAAACAATATACCAATTGTAGTAGGACTTTTTAGATATACAGAAAAGTCAGTATGGAAGTTTCCAAGTTAGATTTTGCTACTTACTCGCCAACGCACACCATGAGATGCGAGAATTGAGCGGTATGTTGACAAGGGGACAATCAGGATGTGTAGATGAGGCTGTAATTGAAGATATCGGCACAAGACCTGAAGAGATTCCAACGTAACAAACACCTGTTGGAATATATAAGCTTCAATTCCGATATAATCCACTCACAAATAGTTCAAAACCAGCAAAATTGTTTGAGATTACATTTGAATTAATAAAAAAAACAAGATATGGACACAATGGCAAAACTTAAATCTTACAAAATTAAAATCCTAAAAAAACATTTCAAATAAAAATATTCCAAATTATTAATAAAATCAAGAATTAAATTAATCGAATATATTCCATTTCCAATTTATTCAAATATTTGATTCGTTTTTACATCCCTGCTCGTACCTAACTACTACTTTGTGTTGGGAAATACGGATGCATTGAATACAAGTATAAAAAGTTAATATAATACGCAAACTTAAGGTAAAGTTTTCGTTGAAAAAGTAACTCTTAAAAAGTATCAAATCTTTTACACCGCGACCTACCGCTTGTCTGACCACCAAATCACTGAATTTCACAAAACTTCGAAGCCAAAAGCGAATCCCATAGAGCTCACAGATATTTTCAAAGTAAACAAAAGTAATAGCCTTTAACAACAAGCTTTAACACTGAAAATTTCAAAGCAATTTGATCTAGTATCAGTCTCGTACTAGTCTAGAAGAGAAATGTGATTTTTTACAACAACAACATACAAACAAAAGGACCCATACGTCCATTTAGTGTCTAAAAATGAAAACGTTGTCAGGGACTCTAATATATTTAACACTTTAAAATAATTGATCAAGTCATATGTAATAAATGCGGGTTCTTTTTCAACAACAACAGCAAAAAATACACGATAGTCACGATTACTTTTTCTTTCTGCGTATTTCTTGCATTGTCGAATCATTTCAAACGAGTAATGTTATACATTACCTTTTACAAGACGTCCAACTCTTTGTAAAATTTCTGCAATCGAACAAAAAATGATTAATTTCAATTTTTACTTAAATATTATATTTAGAATATATATACAGTATATATACGGTACTCCGAAGTATGTGTACCAAGATGGCGCTCAACCTGAACATAGTATGTGTACCCGGTTAGGGTTGAGATTGTGCGCCATCTTGGTACACATACTTCTGGAGCGCCGTGTATACAAAAATTCTAGACTTAGTTCTCACTTCTATATTAGGTTCTCATGGAGTTGCCTCATTGCGTTCTAAGTATAAAACTCCAGAATTCAGCCAATACGCTGGATTTATGGATTGATGTGAATGCCACACAATTAGTTATATACTTGATTGAATTCAAGTATTGTGAAGTTTGACTCAACTCAGAAGTATATACCTTACCTTCTTGTCTGCTTAATTGCTGTTTTAGCCTTTCTACCTCACTCAGGTCACATACGCAAGCACCCGCGTCTCCTTTTAAACCTTTTGGCCCACGGTCTCCAGGAGGTCCCAAAGGACCTCGCTTACCTGGCCTAGACTCGCAATTGTTGCACCCAACTGGTGCTAACTGGCCCATACTTCTTGTCGCTTGGCCCCCGACCAACTGTCGCATTACGGACATGCACGCCCCATCGTTAGTCGCAAAGCAAGATGACAATGTTAGGCAGAGGAATACAAACGTTCCCATCCAAATAGACCTCATTTTAAAGTAAAATCTTACAGACGGAAAAGAAATAATTTATGTTATTGTGCGCATTTTTCTATTTGCACAAGATTCGATATGTGTCTTAGTAATTGCGGGATGCATACAAATCATAGTTCTGAGGGAAGAAGCAGCTCGAATGCAAAAAGTTTGAACCAACGAACGTTATCCATCTAAAAGCAAATTTTGTGACTAGCCATCAAACAAGACCTATTATCAACTCTGTAATGAATCTAGGTTGACAAATATATAAAGGTTTTATTTGAGTTGAGATAACGCAGAAAAAAATAGCTTCTTGAAACAGACACCAACTCTCTTCTACTACCCAACTAAAACGGAAAAAAGCGACTCGTGGAAATAGGTTATTGTGCTATGGCGAACTCAATTTATGTCGAACACTTATGCAACATATTTTTTATCACTTTGAGGCATAAACAATGAACTACGCGGTTTATTTGCTCATTTATTAGAATGTTTTGTTTACCAAACCATTAATATGCCATTCAACGATGTGAAATTGCCCGTGGGCATTTACAAGTACAAGACAATAAACTTTTATTTGACAATTTATATGGTTCCGATAACTGTCTATATTGAGAAGAAAGTTTAATGAACAAAAATACTGACCGAAAAATGAGCAACTGGCTCAAAATGTTTGTATTGGAATAGGAACTCTGGTTATCACCGCCTGGGTGTTCGAACTACGATATACCAAGCACATGCGTCTATATTTATTGCAATAGAAATAAAATATATTTGAAAATCCAAAACATACGCATGTTACCAAAATGGTGCTAAGTTTTTAAGCGTCATATCTATCATCATATCAGTTTTTTGTTTCATTTTCAGAGCGCTTATTCCCTTCTTTGGTCCTGAACAAAACCCTCTCAAGCAGTAACTGATACTGTTTCTGTCAAAACCTCAAATGGTACTTTGTGAAGTAGCCCATTACACTCGTCGCATAGACCAAAGTGCTCCGTACGGAGCCCCAGGGCTCCGCGAGAGAAACCCAGGGGCTCCGCGAGCTATTCGATTACTCTTCAAAATACTGACTCAAAATTTTGTAACTGTTCAAAGAAGCAATAACAGCTTTGATAACATCTGACAACAATATAGCCTCGAAATATGGTAAAGGTCCGGAATTAAAAAATGACATTATTTATGAGCAGTAGCGCAGCCAGGATTCTTAAGAGGGAGGTGGTTCAAAATTGGAATCGGAAATTTCCGCGCAACATTTTTCGCGATTAAAAAAACGGATAACGAGATTTCTGTTGCGTAAAATATTCAATCCAAGACCGATGGAGCATTTGACGTGTCTCGTCGGTATAATGTAGTTGTGCTCATCGTTACTCACGTTTGATTCGAGATTACTATTAGGATTACTAAAATGAAAGAATACTATTCTAAAATAACATAAAATATGTGATAAACTGCCAACTATAAATAAATTGGTGTCGTATTTTTGCGATCTTGGTATTTGTCAAACTTGATTTGTTCTTTCGCACTTGAGATTATTTTTAAGCAAGATATCGCTGTTTAAAAAATCACAATGTCTGGGCAAAATACGAACAATTGATAATTATTTTATTGCATTCAGCTCCGTCGGTAGTTTCAGAATGAAAAAAGGTACATCGCGGATCGCGCGCACCATTGATTGCGTGCGGCTGCGTCGGTAGTTTCAGAATGAAAAAAAAAGGTAAATCGCGCGCACAATTGACTGTGTTTCGATTTCGCAGCTACTACGATGAAAACCTAACATAACACCAAATTTTGTGATTTACAATGTCTATAGAAGCGTTTTCAATCTGAGGTGAGTCTGCTGAAACCAAAGTGTGATCTTCCATTTTAAGTTTCAGTTTAAATATTTTAGAATGCCGCTTTTCAATCAAGAAATTTGAGTTGTGGATTTACCTTTTTATTGATTATTATTTTTAGCATTTCGTCGCCGATGACTATAATATGGTAACATGTTTTTCACATTGAACTCATAATTCCCCACGAGAACAAAAAAGCAATTAACGTCGTCATTGTGTAACAATACATGTATATGCCGAGGGAAATTTTTGATTTAGGGAGAATAAACAGCGGCGTAAAGATGTTTAAAACACGCCATGCTGACGGAAAAAATCGGCGATTGTAACAAAATGAAATAGCGCACGTTACTAACGGCCTTTTAATTAAGTCTTCCAAAAATGTCAAAAAAGAAAAGATTCAGCATTTAGAATAAATAAAGTACTTTTAACTTGCTCGGGAATAATAATCTGAAAGTAACAATTTTAAAATTTATTTTGGGGCTCCGCGAATAATATTCAACCTTTCAAGGGCTCCGCAACACCAAAAGTTTGAGAACCCCTGGCATAGACCATTACTTTTGATACATATTAAAGCTTATGACGTTTAAAAATATAGTACCGTACCGTAATTGTGTATATCTGTGAAACCAGTTCATTTCGCCTTTTAATTAGGAATTTTCATGCATAAATTCATAACTCTCATACTGCACTGCAGCCTCAGCTTTTTAATTCTGCCTGTTAAGGACTACTTCATTACGTCAAACAACTCATTCAAGTCAAATGTATGCACGTAACTTGGTGTCAGCAATCCCCTTTACATCGCTTATTGGACGCAAGTAATAATCGTTTCCGATTGTTTTGTTTCCAAAAACTTGAACAGTGGGCAGTACGCATTGATGTTGATGGAAACGATAAAGAAGTATTGAACATTATAATATAGCGATTTACAAGTGCTTACAACGATTGATGCTCATATTTTTGGAGCTCCCCTAGTATGTGTACCAAGATGGCACACAACCTGATAACCCTAACCTGGTACACATACTATGTTCAGGTTGTGCGCCATCTTGGTACACATACTACAGGAGCACCCATTTTTTTGATGTCTATTTTATATGCTTTCGGAAGAAATTCAAAGATTTAAAACTTTTTGTATACCACGAGATGATAAAATGTATCAATGATGATCAAAAATGTACCTATCTACTGTGGTCTACATGGTATAAAGGCGTTTCGGCCCCCGCAAGATCGAGTGCAAAATACCGTTATCAATATTGCGCGAGACTCCATATCCGTGATTGCATATTTTTCCACTGAAGGTATGAAAAAATATTTCGTTGCTTTATCCTTATGATGTCATTGACGGCTAGTCCGAGGCGTCCATAGGCCGAAACGTCTGCAAACCCAGTTGTTCTCAAACTTTTAAACCGCGCCATCTTTTTAAAATTTGTAAAGTCTAAGAATAAGCTAGCTAACAATAAGCTACAAATAACAGATAGCAAGGTAGTAAGTAAGTCTTTTTTATTCAAAAACGTTGAAAATACGTGGCTGAGATGTAAATCATGAAAAGTTTTGAAATGTAATGTTTTTCAAATGTTTTCAAATGGTTATAATGACAGTTTAGAATCTCGGGTAGTGAAGGGTTGAATTGTCCATTCATTCTATCACGAAAAATAATTAGTTCGTTCGTTTAAAATGATCCTTCTGTAATCTCTGCAACTCAACAACAAATTCAAACACACAGCCGCAAAATTTATTACTTCAATATTGTTATATGAGTCGTGAAAAATTCAAAACGTTGTTTTTTTTTCCGGATTTTTTTATTTTTTTTTTTTGTGGACCATAGCGCGGCCATCCTTCAATCTCACCCACTTCAACAGATATACTATTTTCTAGGAACATTAGAAGGCGCTCGCGTGGTATGTGCACCAAGATAGCGCACAGGCTGAACCCTAACTTGACACACATACTATATCCAGGTTGTGCGCCATCTTGGTGGTGCACATACTACGGGAGCACCTATTAGAACGATGGAATAAATCAGTGGTCCTTGAACGGTGGGGCGCGCCGCACAAGAGAGGGTAGAAGATTTTTAAGCTGGCGTGAAGCTAATTAAAAATAAAAATATTTGTTAGATTTGAACTGCCCGCCTCATTTTGGGTATTAACATTTTTTTATTTTTGATATTCACGTTCCATCCACGTATTTTCAAAGTGTTTTTGAATAAAATATACTTTCGCCTTACTACCTCCTATTTGTAGCTTATATTTAGCTCGTTATTTTTGAGTCAGAGCGCGAAACTTGACAAATTCAAGAAAGGGGGCGTGGCTTAAAAAGTATGAGAATCACTGAAATAAATTAACACTCCGGTGCTTCGGAACTAACCAAGTACGTTTAATATCTTCGTTAGAACCCCATTAAAATGCGGTAGATACGCAACTACATTGTATATTCGGTTCTTCCAAGGATAATAGGAATTTCTTCCGGTATGAGTGGTTACAACTTACAATAGGTAAACCTTTGGGAATTCGAAAAAAAATATGGAAAGTCTTCAAAATCTTCTAATGTTTAAGGCACGGAGAGTGAATTGATTGATAATTAATTATATATAAAGCATTTAATTGTAACCGTAAAACACAGTAAATATTTTCTCTTACAGTTAGGATGAAAGCAAATACCAATTCAGGGTGTGACATAAAGACAAGTGAAATACAAGGAATGGGATAGGGATATAGAGTTATATATGGATAGATTTAAACAATGGCTCTACTAGAAAGGAAACTGCTCTTTTAGTAAAATGTTTACTAATTTATTCACGACAGTTTATGTCGGTCGTCAGCAATCCAGTAATTCAAGTCTCAGGCTCATGTGAAGGTAGTATTCAACTGGATAAATCCTGATATATCTGGCCACTATTGCTTCTTCAAAGCGATTTTCAACAGGAGTGTCCACATTGCTATTTGCTTTGAAAATCTAAACATAATAATCCAAAAGTCATGGAGAATTTTGCAATGTATGTTTATTAATTAAGAAGCTTTTATGAATTTCATTATTATAAATATACATTCAATAAAAAGGATGCAAGTCTGTCTCCAACGTAACATGTTTGGAACTTGTTTTAGATCTAGAGAAAACATAACTTTTGTGCAAAGCGTTCAAGATTGTCGTTACTTTGGGTACAATCATACGCAAACCGATGTTCAAGCATATACAAAATCAGGTGAATTTTCTCCATTTAACAATAATAACAATTCTATTGATTTGTTTTTTGTCGGGATCAACTCGTACATATTCGATGCAAAAAGCATCAGCATATTTATAATTGTATATGTGTAAGATGTTTAATTTGACACAGCCTATTAGAAAAATTAAGAGTGCTATGGCATACCCTTAGTTAGAGTTATTATTTTAATACACTTGGCTAAACGTTCGGCATTATAGGTGAATTAAAATGTTTTAAAGCAATGCTGTCCAATGCAGGTTATGCCAAGCTAAGGAAATGCCGCAAACATAGTAGATTTGCACTTATATTTAGGTATTTGAAAAAATCCTCACTTAGATCGTGGAATCGATTCGCCTGACAAACCGCACAATTTATATTTAGCCATGACCCGGCGCGCACAGTTAGTGCAACAAAAATCTGCTTAAAAATTTTCTGTATTTAAAATACCTTTTCCGATCCATTTTCTTGGTATGTTCGTAAAGCCGAGACCGAATTTCCATATTGTACTTTATATGACTTGACATACTGGCTGTGCCTGTATCTTCCTTGTGTAACTACACCGGTGATTGGTCGAGGTTTTTGAAGATCAACTTGCACCCATTCACCAGATCGACCTGACATTGTCACCACGATATGAAAATGTGATTAGTCATTCAGAAATATAATAGATTTCTTTTTTGTGTAGACTATCGGTTTATTTTTCATCGAGTTCAATCACATATGATGTCCACAAAGTCTGGATTTTTTTTTTTTAATTGCAAGGGCATTTATTATACCATATATTGTTCTGGACCTCACAGATGTAGTAAATGAAGTAAAAATACCTGAACAATTATTGATTAAAACAACAAACCTGGATAAGATATATTGAGAACTGACTTCACAACAAAATTGAATTTGTAAAGGGACTTTATTGACACCCTAGAATACCGATTTTACACATAGAGGTATTAAAAATTGCACTAGTTCTATGCAATAGTACCATCCGTTTTTTTTTTTCATTTTCAATGGGTATTAAACAATATACCAATTGTAGTAGGACTTTTTAGATATACAGAAAAGTCAGTATGAAAGTTTCCAAGTTAGATTTGGCTACTTACTCGCCAACGAACACCATGAGATGCGAGAATTGAGCGGTATGTTGACAAGGGGACAATGAGGATGTGTAGATGAGGCTGTAATCGAAGATATCGGCACAAGACCTGAAGAGATTCCAACGTAACAAACACCTGTCAGAAAATATAGGCTTAAATTGTTGGTAAAACGAGTTCGAGCTCAACAAAATGAACAAGCATGTAATCCACACTCTAATAGTTCAAAACCAACAAAATTGTTTTACAGAACAAAGACAGAACATTTGAGTTGATAAAAATAAGCAAGAGAGCAATGTACAAATATATAGACACGAAAGGTAAAACGAAGATGTATCAAATATTTTACAGTACCAATAGTCTAAGCACTAAATCACTGAGATCTGATTATGGAACCACAGCACGATTCAATTTTAAATTTTGATTACGTCATTACACATAACTTCGAAACGGAAAACGAATCCCATAGAGCTCACAGATATTTTTGAAATGAATATAGTAATAGCCTTCAACAACAAGCTTCAACACTGAAAATTTCGAAGCAATTTAGTCTAGTACTTGAGAAGAGAACGGTAATTTGTTTACAACAACATACAAACAATCGACCCATATGTTCATTTAGTGTTCAAAAATGAAACCGATTTCAGCGACTCTCCTATCTTTGACACTTTGGTATAATTGATTCAGTCATATGTGAAAATGCGGGTTATTTTTCAACAATAACAGCAAAAAATACACTTCACAGTATCCGATAGTCACGATCACTTTTTCTTTCTACGTATTTCTGGCTTTATCAAATAATTTCAAGGAGTAATGTAATACATTACCTTTTACAAGACGTCCAACTCTTTGTAAAATTTCTGCAATCGAACGAAAAAAACATTAGTTTCGGTTTTCACGTATATAAATAATGTATACAGAATGTATATATATATATACAAAAAAATTCTCCGAATTCTATATCAAGTCCGCATGGATTCCTTGCCACAGTGCGTTTTTATAAAACTCCGGAATTCAGCCAATATATCAATGAGAGAGTTTATGGATTTAGGTGTAAACCACACCTTCAGTTATATAATTGATTGAATTCAAGTATATATTGTGAAGTTTAACTCAACTCAGAAGTATATACCTTACCTTCTTGTCTGCTTAATTGCTGTTTTAGCCTTTCTACCTCACTCAGGTCACATACGCAAGAACCCGCGTCTCCTTTCAAACCTTTTGGCCCACGGTCTCCAGGAGGTCCCAAAGGACCACGCTTACCTGGTCTAGACTCGCAATTGTTGCACCCAACTGGGTTTACTTTGTCCATACTTCCTTTTGTTTGGTCTCTGACCAACTGTCGCATTACGGACATGCACGCCTCATCGTTGGTCGCAAAGCAAGATGACAATGATAGGCAGAGGAATACAAACGTTCCCAACCAAATAGATCTCATTTTAAAGTAAAATCTGAAATAGTTGGTATTCCTATACAGAAAATAATGATTTACGTTTTGCACAATGTTTGACATGAGTCTAAGTAATTGTTTGGATGCATCCAATTCATAGTTCTGAGGAAAGAAGCAGCTTGAATGCTAAAAGCTTGAACCAGCGAACGTTATTAATCTTAAAGCAAGTCTTCTAACTAGCTATCAAACAAGACCTATTCTCTACTTTGTAATGAATCTTAACTAGTCTGACAAAATATAAAGGCTTTATTGTGCTTTAATTAATGATTTGGTGCTCCTGAAGTATGCGCACCAAGATGATGCATAACCCGAACCCTAACCTGGTACACAACCTGAGTTCAGGTTGTGCGCCATCTTGGTGCGCATACTTCAGGAGGTCCAATGATTTTACTGACTAACGAAAACTGAAAAAGCGAGTCGTGGAAATAGATTAATGTGCTATGGCGAAATTACTTTATGTCGAACGCTTATGCCTCATATTTTTAATTACCTTGAGGCATAAACAATGAACTACGCGGTTGAAGATGCTTCATTGCTCATTTATTAAAATTTTCAGTTCACCAAACCGTTAACCTTAATATGCGATTCGATGATTTGAAATTGCCCGTGGGCATTGATAGGTGAGCGACGATAAACTTTTATTTGACAATTTATATGATTCAGATGGCTGCCTATATTGAGAATAAAGTTTAATGAAGAAAAATACTCACCGAAAAATGAGTAATTGGCTCAGAATGTTTGTATTGGAAAGGAACTATGTGTCTTCGAACTACAATACCCAGCACATGCATGTATTTTAAATCGGCAGGGTGCAATAGAAATAAAAGATATTTGAAAATCCAAAACATTCGCATTTTACCAAAATGGTGCTAAATTTTTAAGCGTCATATCTTTATCGAGTTTTTTTATTTTATTTTTAGAGCGCTTATTCCCTTCTTTCGTTCTGAACAAAGCCCTCTCGAACATCAACTGACACTGTTTCTGTCAAAACGTCAAATAGTAATTTGTGACGTAGCCCATTACATTCGCCGCATAGAGTAGACCATTACATTTGATACATAATAAAAGCTTATGACTTTTTAAAATATAGTCTACAACCCATTCAATGCTTTCTATTGAAATTTCCTTATATAATTGTGTATATCTGTGAAACCAGTTCATTTCGCCTTTTAATCGGGATTTTTCATACATAAGTTCATAACTCTCATACTGCACCGTAGCCCCAGCTTTTTAATTCTGCCTGTTAAGGACTACCTCATTACCGAAAACAACTCATTCAAGGGCACACCCGTAGTGTGTGTACCAGGTTAGCGTTAGGGCATAATTTTATTTCGATTTTCATTATTTTAGTTCTAATACGAGGCTTTCTGCGTTAGCCAAGTGAATATACCCCTGCCTGTATAGGTTCCAGTCCCTTTACACAACTTGTTATGATGTAAAGTAGGCGAACAAAATTAGTTACTTTCATATTGATACACATACATCTGGAGCGCCCTTTAATGGATACCAATTAGGCTAACACTTTTTCTTGTTTATTACATATGTACCATAATTATTAAAAGTGCATCTCACATAATCTTATGGTCCCATGCTCTTCAATAATTAGTATTGGGGATTAGTATAAAGGCCCAATATAGAGTTTTGTCCACACCTCTCAGTATATCTATAGCATGAAATTACGGTTAAATTATATATGATTGGCAACCGGAAGATATCAATTGGCGAAAATACTTCAAACCCAAGCATGTAATTGAAAATAAGGTAAAACAAATGAAATTTTCGAAACGCTCTTTTTTCTTTTTTTGATTTTTTTCCATCAATATTTTCATATTTGAATCAATGTTTTGCACCACGAATAAATGCTTATGAAAAAAGCGTTTCGTTCATTTGTCACATATATAAGTAGACGAATAGCTAAAATTTTAATCTCAATGTTACAATAGTCGATTGAGTATCCTTGCACACATTGCATACAGATACATTCACTAGAGTTTGAAGATTGAAATAAGTCAATCTATTTCGTTATCTTGAATTTGACTACAATATTTGAATAGAGGGTCAAGTATTTCTCATTTTGTCCGCGTTGAAATAGTAATTCACTACACAAAATATTTGTTCAGATTTAATGATTGGTGACAAAATTGCAACATAAAATAAAGTTAGGAAAACACAGTAAATTTTTTCTCTTATAATCAAATTTATAAGTCATGTATTTCAACACAATTCTACATCTAATGTTAAAGTCAAGTCAAGTTTATTTTTTTCAACAAGTAAATAATAAAATGAAAAAAATAAAAAAATACGATACAAATGAAAAGTATACAGATATACTGAGGAAGAGAAGTCGCGGGGAACCAAAGCTGGCTATCAAGCAGCGAGCAGCGACACCAGGTTCAAATGTCGAATTTAAAAAATTGCAATTTTAGAGTTAGGAAACTACTGTTTTTGACGGTGAGTATTGTACGAATCAATAATATAACATTGCTCAATAGAGATAGTTAATTTCTCAAGTGCACATTAAAGAGTCAAAACACCAACTGCTGTACGGGAAACTGTTAAACAAATTTGAACGCTGTTCCAGTCCATACTTGTAATCTATCGGGATATGTATGATGTTTTTATATCCTAGTCGTCGCTAATTGTGGAGTGGACGGATTACCGCTTCTACTAGAGGATATTGATTTTGATGATCTTGATCCGACAGTCGGTGTCAAGTGAGCACACTTGCGTAGAAACGCGAACGTAGCACGTCGCATTTTACTGCAAAAAATTGAATTGAAGTAAAAGCAACAATAGTATCCCACGCAGTAAGATAGTTTGCTAATAATACTTTATTGATAACAATTCATGCGACTGTTTGAACAATGTTTTGTCACCACTGCCTGAACTTTTGGAACAAATTTTCCGACTGTTTTTAGAAAAGTACCCCCGCCACGTTTCAAGTACTGCAGATTACGCTCACCCCGTTAGCGGTGGCGAGGGCTTTCTACGAAAGATCCTGATTTACTTCGATCTTGATTCAATAATGAATCGGATTGAGTATAACTTGCTGGACGTGGGCACCATTGTGATAAAGTACAAAAAGTAAAGTATACATCATCCATGATTGGAATTTGAAAATGCAGTTGATTGCTGTACAGAATTTACGTTCTTCTATTAATTGAAAATTTATTTTCAAGAACGTTTAGAAACGAAGGAGCATATCTGGGATTAGTGTAGCCCTAATTCTCAAGTTAAGTCGAGTCACAGGTCATCTGAATTTTGAGTTTGAGTTCGAAGTCGAGTCAATATAATCGAGTCTCTCTGGTGGTTATTTTATGACGCGTCGGAGTCATTTCATTCAGACTAAATCAATTCGAGTCAGACGGGTTAATTCGAGTCTTTGGTAACTGATGACTCGACTCGATTTAATGATTCGAAATTACAAATACAACATATTGCAAAATTGCGATGATATTCTACGTCAGAAAATGGGCAAAAATGGGCGCTCCAGGAGTATGTGTACCAATATGGGGGTAACTAATTTTGTTCGCCTACTTCACATCAAGTTGCGTAAAGAGACTGAAACCTATGGGCAGGAGGTATATTCACTTGGCTAACACAGAAAGTCCTCGAACTAGTAATAGAACTAAAATATGGAAATCGGAATAAAATTAAGGGTAACCCTAACCTGGTACACATACTACGAGAGTACCCAAAAATGAATGAAATAACATTGAACTTTATATACCTTGATCCCAAGTTATAAAATATGGGATTCAAACACTCCGATATCCTGAGAAGACAATGTGCAATTACCGAATACAACCACTCAACCCTCGGTGTCAGGGGAGCTTTTCTGCTCTTAGAAATGATTGCTGTCGCTCTGTAAGCTGTAATGGAAGTGTTTTAATAAGTATTGGATTGCATGGAGCTTATATACGATTAAACAGAAGACAAACAAATCATAAATTGTGGTCTTTATCTAGTAAGTTATTTTTGTTATGCAACAAAGTTACTAACCCTTCAACTCAACGTTTCCCGACCACGAAAGAATTTCTTCCTATGGAAGTGTTTTGTCGTCCTTAGGGAGGATTTAGCTTTGTATTTGCTGTACTATTCCTAATATTCTTTAGTTAATTACTAATACTATATTACCTATTTAATTACCCAAACTGTACAAAAGTGGGAGTGAGACTTGCGGATATTATCAGCAAAGGATCCATTAATGATCAAATGAATAAAGTACCTTGTTACATGGTAAGGGAGGAACTGAGAACTCCAAAAACGCGAAAAATTTAACAAAACAGGTTGGGAATCACTGCTTTAACCGTTATTCCATCACACACACATTTACAGTATACTTTGGGTATGTGATGACGAATCACAATTAATTAGTCTTAGAATAGTCTTCGATTACTTGACCAGGATAAAGGTAATGCGAAACCAGCCGCATTTAATGCATCTCTTTTAACACAGTTTTGGACGTTTAGCGTATTTTAGGATCCTGCTGGATTCCAAATGTCAGCCTCTATCATTGCCGTCGTTAAAACAACTAATAAATACTCTATTTCAAAAATATATACCAAGGAAACACTTGTTTAATACATTAAAAATATTTTGAGATTTTAAACTTTAGCCAATACCATTTCACTCACATATATCAGGAATGTATCCAAATAAAAATGAAGCAACGATCAAGGTTAGTTGTAGCAAAGCATAATTTTCTTTCTTCTCGGTATTAGCACTTCGCCGATGAGTAATTGAGAAATTTTCTGGAAAACAATAAGACACTCCCGCATGATATATTCATTCAAAAACAAAAATGTTAATGGTAAATCTGCTAGCAAGTACAATGAAGCACAATTTTACAAAAACGAGTTATCGCTCAACTCTAATTCATGGAAAATTATCCTAATGCTGCTGATATACTTGGTTGAAATGGTCGGTGATTTTCCCTCACCCTCCTATAAAGGGTGGACACCCTGTTAAAATTTCAAACACCCTCCCAATTTTGAAGTGTGACATCATACTTACCGTATTCATACATACCGTATTACCCGGCGAATAAGTCGCTTTTCTAGACCCAAATTTTTGGCCTGATTTTGGGGGCTCGTCTTATTAGGCGAGTATGGTAATTTTTTTTTTTGTGTCGCCTTGTTATGTATTAGGTGAAGTTCTTTTATGGTGGACGCAATCGCAAGTTGAACACAATTGGATTAAAATTCGAAGACAGTTTGAATTCCCGTAATTATTATGGATTGAATATTGCGCTATACAAGAAAACGTCATTATAGGCTATTTTAACCAATGCGCAAAAGGCATTGCATGGTAATTTGGGATTCCGATGTTGACGCGATTTTACTACCTCGACTTATCGGCAGGTTATAGGCAAAAACCCATTTTCAGGCTTAAAAACGGGCCTCGTCTTATTTACCGGGTATAGACATTTTCGCCGGAAAATACGGTAAAAATAATTGTATTTGAATATTCAGAAAGTGGCGCACATAGAAGTACAGCTGGTAGATTTGGAATCACCGCATTTGGGAACATCAGAAATAATTGAAACTCCTATTTGTACTTAAATAATAACGTACAACCATCTCAACTATCAATGAAGCATATTCTAAAACTTTCCCATGGACGCCATTTTACGTAGATACGCCACTGCTACTAACCTCCACTAGACTTGAATCGTTTTCTCAATATTACTATGCATAAAATGACGCAAACAACAACAACAAGAAGCATTGGTAGATATAGGAGTATCGGAAAAATGTAGATTGAATAGATCATCGCCATCGGTACCCTGTAGTATAAATAGTATTAAAAAGCTTGTGTGTGGAAATTTCTGAAATATTTTTCTATGAATTTTAAAATGAGCAATAAAAAAGGAGCAATGTATAAATTTTATGGCACGAAAGATTAAACAAATTATTATCAAATCTCTAATAGTAACGTTAGTCTGATCGCTGAGATGTGATCACGGAACCACGCACAGTGCGCAATTTTTAATTTTGGTGACGTCATTACACAAAACTTGGAAGTGAAAAAAAGAATTCCATAGAACCCATGAATATTTTCAAAAAATAATAATAATAATAGCTTTCAATCGACAACAACAATCTTTAACCACTAAAAATTTCAAACCAATTGGTCCAGTAGTTAAAGTAAAAAGCTATTTTTACAACAACAACAACATGACATGGTAAACACACGATCACTCCTCGTGTCTTATAATATCAAATAATTCGGTCTAAGTTTCTAACACAAAACCCACATTATCCGATGAGACAAATCCGAGTCGTATTCTGTTATGTTATAGTTGTAGGTGAATTTAAAAATCAAAATTAACTTGAAGTTGAATAACTATGAGGATCACTTTAAATCCACTTTTCTCAAAGGGCCTCTTGGTCCGTTAAATACTTAAATACGGTAATCATTTTTTAATATTTTTTTATCAATTCAAGCTCAAAAAGCTAGTTTTAATACTGGATACATTCAAAGAAGCAAATCGATTTGGTTACTTTTCACTTTTTTTTTGTAATAAAAAAGATTTTAAATATATAATTTTAACTGTTTTTCCAATATAAGCTATTTAAATAAATGAACAAATGTCATAACGTTAGGAATGGTAAAATTGAAGTGTTGTTTCCTACAAAAACTAACAATGGTAGAATAAATGAACACTTCGAAGAACATTTCAAACGTGGTAATTGGTGCAGTTAAGCTCATAATTTGGCTATTTTTTGGTTTCGATTTTTTTCCGATTGAGTTCTTTTTCCGCCCAATTAGAAATTCCGCAAACCATAATGACGTCATAATTTCCTGTCATTACATCTGATTAAAGCGTATTAGCAAACATAAAAGGCAAAAAAAATTTAAAAAAAAATTTTCAAATATTCTATGTAGCGATTATCATTAACAAAAATTTGAAACCGGTTTGATTGTCAGATGTGTTAGGGAAAAATCATACCATTTCCTTTGCATTCTACAAGACCTTCCTCCAAATGCATGGGCTGGTGGCATGTGTACTCCAGGCCACAAAACAAAACATACAAATCCAACAAGCAGAGTTTCAATCCATATGAAAGCGACAATAAACTAAATAAGGATTGATGAAAAAAAATTAATAAAAGTCGGACAAAACGAAATGGACAAATAATATATTTTTGGTGTTTTGCAGAAATAAAATTAAAAATAGAATATTTTATTGTACAGTGGTTGTCTGTGACCGCGAGCCTTGTTTTTTAAATAATCTAAAAATCGACTTACCGTCGCATGTTTTGTATTAACTTTTCTGAATTTATGTGGATTCGAAACTGAAATAAGCCTGAGTATTGCAAATATGAGAATATGTTGAATTGTTAAAATAGTAGTCCAGAAATCAACTGCTTGTGCTATCTAAACAAACAAAAGAAAATTTGAAATGAGAAAACGGTACTCGCGTAATATGTGTACTTGGTTAATTAGGATTAATCAAGATCTCACACTACAAAGATGATTTGCAGTTATCATTTTTTACCCAAATCCATAAATATTTATATATGAATTTATCTTACTTTGCAGACAGCCTCTGATGCTTCGTAATATCGATATCCAAACGTGCTTCGGTAAATCACAAACGGACTATCAAGTGCAGACAGAAAATCTGACAAACACAAGCTTGCTAGAATTATACTGAAAATTGTCCTGCAAAATAATAGAATGAAATGATTACTCGAGTTTAATTTTTTTGAATACGGTTATTCCATGTAGGAAGAATATAAAACGGATATTAAAATTGAACAAATTTTATTTCAAACTTGTGAAAATTAGAAATGGAGCACTATTCATGTAGATTCTTGTGATTAGCGCATTGAAGCTGGCTACGTTACCGTTTCGAGCATAAGGATTGAGCTGACACCATATGCAATGTAGACTAGTGTGCCTTTAGAACGACAGTTCGCCAACACACAGTAGGCAGGGTGTGCCTTGGCGAAGGGGCATAGGGGCAGCCGCCCCGGGCCACACGCTGTAGGTTTGTTGCTTAGTTTGATGATTTAATTATTAATAATACAAACATTTCACTCTTACTTAACCTTTAATTTATTCATTCTCATGTATACCAACATCAATTTTTTTTTATCCCCTGAAAAACTCACTCTAAACATCAGAAAAGTATATCACGCCCCTGACTGTCGAAATGTGTCAAAAAGTGTTTAGAACCACCATTCTCGGACCTCATAAAAATCAGATTACTTTTTTTTTTTTTTATTTCATCCAATGTCAATAAACACACAGGTAATTTACATGAAATATGATCAGACATTTATTCATTCAAAATATGTTACAAAAAACTTACTTCTTCATTCTTAAAATCACGATGAACGTAATAAGATTCGCGAACATCCCAAATAAGGAAAGAATTCCTAGAACAGTTGTAACTGTTACTGCACCAGCAAATGTAAAGAGCTTGTTCTGGTCTCTGTGTATCAGGGAATAAAAATATAAGGTCATTTCTGCAAAACATAGCTCAAAACCTGAAGCAAGTACAGAATGAAAACGAACCTCACCAATACTTCGAACACGCGAAAATTATTTGAAGCTCTCCAAGGGTGGGGAGTGAATGTTGTTCAAATGATTCAATTTTATTTAGAATAGCATATATATTGTATTCTGAACCAACAACAATGTACTTAGAACTCTCACTTATTCTTACTAAGTGTGTATATATATATATAGGGTATCCATAAAATCTTGACTAGTTAAAAATTGCAAAGGGAATTAACGATACCATATATTGTTTTGTCCCTCACAGATGTGTTAAACTACGTAAAAATGCTTAAACAGTTACTGATTGAAAAACAACAAACCTGGTTACGATATATAGAGAGCTGACTTCATAACAAACTTGAAATTGAAGGGACTTTATGGGCATCCTTTATATTTTATATTGTTATAGACTGTGCCTGATAAAGGCATTGCAGTATAGTTTATAACAAAAAAACAGAAAAATATGTATATATGTATGAAAATGTAAAAACGCACACTAAATAATCATAAGGTGTAGTTGTTCCATCCATCGCAGTAGAGTTCATGATGATCGGATGTTCAGTAACGTTGACTTTCGATTCTACCAAGATCGACATCGGGTTAAAACAATGTTCTAATTTAGTTCAGCTGAAAACATGAAAATATTGGGGAATTACATTTTTATTTCAATATTTTTAGATCCAGTTAAATAACCTATCCCGCGGCTCCTAATCTTTTTCGTTTATCCCCCTAGAAAACTGGTGACTAAGAACTAGAAAAGTTACACTCCCACTTTTTATTCTGCTGATTTATAATTTCCTAATTGAAGTCCCCGCAACATTGTCGCCAAACAAGCTAAATAAATGTAAAATAATCCCAAGAAAAGTAAGTACAAGATTGTAATATTGCTTCTGGTAAGAGAAACTTGAGTTTCACCAACACAAAGATGATTCGCCGGTACAGACGATAACAAAGTAAAATCTCCCCCCCCCCCCCCCCCCAGAAACTACAAAATCCATTCATGACGTAGAATTCTTTTCTGTTTGGGAAAAGCGTCCTCCTAAATGGTTTAGCTGCGATCATGGACGAGTCAGGTATCTCTAATCCTTCATATCGTATGGCATCATCATTAGCCTCCTACACCGACTAAACCATCATGACCACAGCATTCTGCATTATATAAGCCGCAACTTGTGATATCGGGGTATCTTCATAATAAAGGAGAATTGTACAATTATCAAAAATATTGCAAATGTTTATTACGAAATTGTCAAACTCTTCGCTGACCTAAATAGAACCTTACACCTTGCGGAAAAGCAAGCTCATGTATTGAAACGTACAACTTGACCATTTAATCCAGTGGTTCTCGAACTTTTTTTAGTCCCAGAGCCGAATTTCAAACCTCAAAGTTGTAAAGAGCCGCACACAAACAACGCAAGGTAGAATAGCAACAAACCCTAAGCGCGTATTTGAAATACCAAGTCATCGTAACAACACAACACACGTAACAATTACGGCTGGGCAAAATATTCGAATAATAAATTATATTAAATTATAATAAATTATTCGAATGATATTTTACTATTCGAATATCCGGTATTACGTGACCTGCGCCGCTCTGCTTGGACACCGAACTCGCGCGTCTCGAGTAATGTTTCGAATATGTAAATATTTTACTCGACCATGCATGGCTGTTGAGCCAAGAGTAGAACGTAAAATCAATGCGAAATTGCACACTGACTCGTTCACGAATTGTTGCGTCTATTATCATCGAAAATGATTACAATTGTTATATATTGAAGCATTTGGGCAGTAATAATTAAGTCTTAAGGCATGACATAATTAAAAATCAATAAATGAAGCGCTGAATTAGCAAATCCGTAAAGAAAATTGAGCATCACTCAGTAAGTATTTTAGCTATAATAACCATCGGGGTGTTGTTTTGTTTGGTTAAAAAAAAACGTTAAAACTTGAAGGAATTAGTTATAATTAGCGTCTGACTCTCTATAAGGCACAAAGGCCTAGAAATGCCTTTATTGCCAATTTATTTAATCGCTATTTTAAATCAACATTCAGGATTCACGCAATCGTATCTATCTAATATAAAGGAGATAAAACTCAGAATAAAATTAATTTGGTTTTTAAATCAGCCCTTAATGTATTCAACAGCTGTCGCTGATGTGAACGCAAAAGTATACTAGAAATATGTAACTTCGATATCCGGCGACCTCTTAATCTTGAAAAAACGAGAAAGGGCGAGAATATAGAACACCAACTTTAGGATATCACCGCCGAAACGATATCAGCGATTATGATGAAATCAACTATTAACCAGTAAAAAAAACGCTTTATTGCCGACTTTTCAATGTTTCTATAAATTTACAAATGGAGTATCGACCTCCGACGTTCTGGATTCCTGTTATGTATAAAAAAAAATATTCACTATTCAACTATTCGGTATTCGTTGTAAACATTCAAATTATTCGATTCGAAAAAAGATTCGATTTTGCCCACCCTAGACTAACAGTCATTTAATTTGGCCTTGGTTTCTAATAAGTTTGTCAAAGCGGGTGGTAATCGTGGAGGATGCAAGGTGCAGTAGCTGCTTGAGATGATCGCCAGATATTTCGGGACTATTTTCGATTACTGGAACAAAAATAAAATGCTCTAGAAATTAAAATAATCATTGAGGTATTTGATTTATACATAATATTCGTAAAAGCCTCAAAGACATCAATCACGATATCATATAAAACGTGTTCCATGATAAAAAAAAAAATTACACAGCGCGTTTTAGAAGAAATATCAGATCTCACAGAAAATTTAGGAACAAATAAAAATAGTAGCATTTTAGAAAAAACTATAATCATTAACCACTGAAAATTTCAAAGCAATTGGTCCATTTGTAAATTAGAAAATCAATTTTTTCATAAGGTAACAAAAAGAAGAAGAATAACAACATAATAATAATAATATTAACCTTGAATTAGGTTGCGCGAGACTAACTCCTTATCTTTTCTCTATGCCTTTATGCTAGTGGATCCGTATGCGTATACTGCAAGGATACTGTAGCTGGAAAAAACATGACTATTCTATCCGATTGAAGAGTCCAGCTGCACACTAACACAAATGTATTTACTTCGTGTCCAGTAAAGTAATCAGGGTGTAAATTATAATTTTTTTTTACGCGTTGCATGTAAGAACCCATCAGTGTACAGAAATTTTTAGCATTCAACTTTTCTAACTCGTTATATAACGCTGACGCTTATTTTTAGTTCAATTAGAAACTATACATCCGAATGCAGTCTGTTTTTGGTATATATTTTCTATCAATATGAGTATTGGGAGGGAACATGTATCAACATTTCTATTGAAACCAAAAACACTTTAAATATGTGTCAGTTGTACCTCTCTATTGCCATAACATTGGAATTTTAAGATAATAATGACGAAAAACGAAAGGATTGAATTTGACGTAAATCCCAGATTTCGCATGTTTACAAGAACATGATATCCTTATTCTGCGTACCTTTGAAAAAATTTCATAAAATAATCTGTAATTTTTGCTCATGTCCTTATTTTTGTGTGTACATTTGTTCAATTATTCCAAGAACATTTTTGTTTATGGTAAGACTTCATGTAAGCAGATTAAAAAAATACCTGCGCGAAACTAACTTCTGGTCGTTCTCAGATAACTCACGACGGAAAAGTTTAGCAATAAAATAAAATGACCTAACATAGTTATATCATTTACATGCTACATCAGAACATTCCATCATTCCATATACAAAGGAAAAAAAATAAATAATATCTTACATTTGGAACATTAAAATGAGTGGAAATATCAGATTAGCCTATTTTAATGTCATTTTAGTTTAGTTATTTGCTAAAATTTCCATTTTAAAATTTGAATTAAACTAATGTGTCTTACTTACAAGAATCGAAGATAATTTGTCTTTCCAGCCCAACATAAAATATATTTTCTCTACGTCTGCTCTTCCATAAACAATATTTTTTCTATTATATTCTCTAGTTCCCTTGCTCTCATTCTTCTTATGTTCGCAGCCATGGTTAAAATAATAATTATGTTGTTCGTCCACATTACATCGAGTTGTGTAAAGGAACTGAAACCTATGAGCAGGGAGTATATTCACTTGGCTAACACAGACAGTCCCCGAACTCGTAATAAATCTAAAATAAGGAAAATCGGAATAAAGAATCGGAATGGCCTAACCCTAACCTGGTATACACACTACGGGAGTACCCAATTTTGTATTCGAGGACGGCTACTTTTTGCATTTCTCCGAATATTATTTAACTAGGCGAAATCTTGCTATAATCAGAAATTTTGTAGCGCCTACTTGGCAATTTGAATCCACCAACTCTGAACACCAGCCCCCTTCGAAGTCAAATTTCTTGTACGCCTTTGGTGTCATTTTTTTCTTCCTGATACTGCTTCGTTCATTTCTCGTCTTGCACCCAACGATTATTTATCAATACATGAATTATTAAATTATGTTTTACACTTTACAACCATTAGCAAGACTGATCTTTAATATTAATAGAAATCACTCAGTAGTAATGGGTCTGCATGGGTAGTGTTTTACCATAAACTACTTTTTATAAACTGCTTGTTTAACGTAGCGATCCATACCCACTATCCATTTGTTGCTTATCAGGCCTGTGATATTATTAACACGGTAGACACTGGAATTTGACTTTTCGTGCACACGTGGTGAAATTAATCAAGTTTACCGCCCGTGTCTGAAAAGGTTTGGGCTGGTTAAAATTTAGACAATTTTCAAATAAATTCATTCTGTACTATAATTTAGAATTTCATGCCCTTATTTTATCTGGCTACGCGAGGATTATTCATGCACCGAAGTATTTGTACCAAGATGGCGCACAACCTGAACATAGTATGTGTACCAGGTCAGTGTTGTTGAGGTTGTGCGTCTTCTTGGTACAAATACTTCCGGAGCGCCGAATTTGGGTTTCTAGCATTGCAAACAAAAGTTTATGATTTTGTAAACTTTTGTTTAAAGAAAAATCCGATAAAAATAAAAAAAATTGAATATTTCGGTCCAAGGTATATTGTTCGTTTAAACGAGCTGATTTTAATTCTATCTGAAAATATTATTTGTTCCATAAAAGACCCAAGTCGTTAGCGGTCTTTTGTAAGAATATAATCCTGACAGATCCAAAAAAAAACGAATTATTCATTTAAAATCTTAAATTGTAAGTAAGAGCTATACTTATCCAAAAATCTCGTCCCCGAAACTATTAACTTCCCATACGGGGATGATCGTGCGCGAGAGGATTGCTGGACTCCTCGCCGCCGTAGGGTGGTTCACGTAACCGCTGGTCGGTTACGGCTTCTTCCGCCATCAAGTCCATGCTTCCGAAAACAAATAACTGGCTGACTAATCCCATACCCGACCTGGACTGGTAACCGGACGAGAGGCCGTGGTTCGCCATATGATTAAGCCGTCTTATCGGCTTCACACTTACCCGTGAGGCCATTACTTCCATCACACAATAAAAAAGACAAGGCGTTACATAAAGCATTACATTTGATTATATATGTACAGGCCTGGCGTAGCTACCCTACAAAAAGCAAACCCACTATTTAATTAAATGACAGCCCAACAGTGTCTAGGC